TTATCCCATTATTATAATGGTGATGTGGACTACATATGCGGCACACACTTTCACACGAGCGGCACGTGAAACTACCTTACCTTCTCAAATCAGTAAATAGAAATTTGCTTCTCACCTTGCTATTACTCGTCAATCCCAGTAAAATGTAAGTCTACTCTTCATTCTTTATTCCTCCAACGTGCAGTGTATTGTCGAATCCATGTACTCTTTAGTTTTTTGGCTTACATTATTAAATACCTAATCCAACTTCGTGCGGTTTCTGTTAGTCCTCATACACCTTCTTGCTACCCATTGAAATGTCTCATCCATGTTCAAAAATTTACGAGGAAACGCTATTTCTTGATAAGCCATTTTTCTCAATAAGTGACAGCTTGGTCACAAATATAAAAATTCATTCGGAGTGATTTAGATCTGTAAATCGTACGATTTAACAGATACAAATCCATCTCACATCTGAAGATTAAAATTTGAATATGTCTCATCTCTACATATACACATCCTATCCAAACATATTCACCGAATTAGGCTGTGACTGCATGTTACTGGGCAACACAAGCAGTTGCTCCATAAAAGCGTTGTCGCCCAACAGAGTCAACCCGATAGATAGCTTCCCATGAATGGAGCTCATGGCCGCTAAGATATGTGACCCATTAGATTCACCTCGTCAGCTTGTATGTACGGATCTGACATGAGCTGTTGCAATTGCATAAATGAAAAATCACAGATTGCCAGCGAACGTACCCCATAGTGTTGTAGACTCCACTCCACAGCATGACTTATCTAAGTGGAGCTAGCTCAGTAATTATGGATCAGTTGAGCATTAGTTTGATCCACACCACCCAGGGAATGTGAGTCCAAGGCATGTGAAAATGTATTGATCTTACTCAAACTTGATGGCATGATCACTTTTGAACAATGTAAAATTGATCTTGGACGTCAGTTGCCTCTAGACATGAATTCGAATTTGAGTAATCCTACAGGCATTTGCATCGAGTCTGAGCCAAACCAACAGGCCTTGGACTCACATTCCCTGGGTGGAGTGGAGCAAACTAATGCTTAGCTGATCCATAGTTACAAAGCTAGCTCCACTCAGGATAGTCAGGCCGTGGAGTGGTGTCTACCAACACCATAAGTCCCGCAGGCAATATGTGATTTTTCACGTGTACAACCACAACAGCTCGTATTAGTTCCCAGCTGATGAGGTGAATCAAATGGGCCACATATCTCTACTGTCATCAGCTCCATTCATGGGATAGCTGTCTATCGGATTGAATTTGGTCGGTGACAACGTTTTTTTTATTTGCAGCAGCTTGCGTTGGCTGGTAACATGCAGCCACAACCCAATGCGGTGAATATGTTTGACCAGTATGTATATGTGAGACGAGACATACTCGAATTTGAAACTTCAGTTGTGAGATGAGTTTGTATCATGTTAAATCGTTCATTTTTTTTTTTCTTATTTTTTTTTTTATAATGATGTAAACAAAGAAAGGGCTTATTGCAGCCTTGAGATTTTAAAGGAATCATTGTTTCAGTTATGCAAATTTGGTTGGCGTGGGATATCTTATTTATTCTTTCCAAATTATAAGAGTGATATACATGAAATATTTGCTCAGTTAAGTATTTGTTTTCAGATTCTATATATTCAATTCCAAATTTTATACTCTTATGGAGAAAACAAGAAAATTAGTCCGAATCAACTAAAAAGAAAATTCTATAAGAGTGAAATATTTCACATGATGCAATAAACATCCAAGATGAAATGAAAAAGTATGAGAAGAAGAAGGGGTTAATAAATACATATTTACAACCATACTTTATAAAAATTATGACACAATTGGATTCATAACCCAAAATAATAATAATTAAATAATAAGAAAGGAAAAGAAAAAATAGAGTAAAAAAAGTCCTTAAACAGTTGTAATCCCATAGAGTGACCATAACATTAATAATACCCCCAATATTTCTACATAAAGTCAAATATGCCACTGCTTTAGTCACATATTTGAATCAAAGTGTTTCTTAAAAAATAAAAAAATAAAAAAAATAAAAAATAAAAAAGATGGGTCATTCTATGGGATTGCAGTCATCATTTGTCCACAAATTGTTTTATGATGATCTTAAAGTTTCTTGGAAAAGAATGGTGTATAAAGATCTACACTAATAATTTTCCAACTTGTATAGATATATATATATATATATATATATATATACATTTCCAAAGGTAAATTCATAAATCTTGAAAAATATGACGAAGTGAAAAGAATGCACAGATTTTTAGTTTAAATCTACCAACGAGGAGGTGGCAGAGACTGAGCTGTGAAGAGTTGCTCGTAATGGCTGTTTCACCGGAGCATAGCTTGTAAACGTTGATTTAATAATTTCAAATGTTGTTTGTAGGGCCTTTTGGGCTTGTGTGGGTAGGATTTTCAATCAGGCTTGCCCTGATTTGTGGTTGGGCCTTTGTAATGGGCCATTTGTATTTCCTTCTGTGGACTATGGTCTGTTGTACATATTTTCAAAATTATAAAAATTGCTTGAATTTCAGAAAAATAAATAAATATATAAAGTCTACCCAACCTTCAAATGCTCATCTAAATTACCATGAAATTTATAATTTTAAAAAAAAAAAAACGTGTGAAAATTTAATAAACGTAAAAATTGAAAATACATGAACATGTTTAACTTCTTAATGATGAAAGGGTGTGTTATTTTTTATGGATATAAAATAATTTAAATTAGCCTTTTTATCTATTCAATAAAAGTTTAAAACTCCCTTTAGTGTGAAACATTTAAAATCTATTGAGCTCTATATGTGTAGAATGATATATTAAAACCGACAAAACGGAAAATTAGTATTAAAAATTTAGTTGGCTCAAGGCGGTAATTAAGTTTCATCACCATGGATATAACATGTATATATTAAAACATATAACCGTATTAAAGAATTATTTTGACAGTGTGCAAAAATAAATATTGTGGGCACCATAAAAACCTATTATATCTGTGTTCACAATGACAATGTGGGTTATATATGGTCCCACTTGAATATACATTTACTAATCTATCCGTAAATGATACATCAAAGTTATAAAACCGAGTTGGGTGGGTTACACCATATTTCATATTACATGCATTTGCCATCACGTCACGTTAGTTTTTAAATCTCTAAATCCAATTTGCATGTATTAACTTATAAATCAATTGAATTCATCACATCCGTTGCGATAACAGGATTATATGTGTGGTCTATACTTATCACACAATTGACACGTAACGTTGTATTAACTTTTCAAATATCTAAATATAAATTTACTTCTCATCTGCAACTCATTACTCCATTAACAAGGTATACTACATATGATCTGCACATTTCACAGGACACACGTATATCGCACGTAGTTGAAGTCATCATGCATAGTGTTACGATCGCAATGTGACTACACAACCCACACTTCTCACGTGATTGGAACATGTTACCTTATCAAATCTCTAAATAAAATTTATTTCTTCGTGTTGCAATGACAAGGTGGGTTATGTTATCTAAATGGAACTTACATTTACTAACCTATCAATATATTCACAAGTTATTTAAGTCATCACTCTATTGGTAAAAAAATAAAAAATAAGTTCAGTGGGCTACACATGCGGGTCCACACATTTCATATGACACACGCATGTCGCACATCACGTTACGAAATGCAATTTACATTTATACCGTAAAGTAATTGAATTTTATTAACCTACCTATAAAGTAATTGAATTCATCAAGCGTACTATTGCGGTGGTATTGTGGACTACACGTGGTCCACACTGTAACCTTCATGACGCTGTGTTACCTTCTCAAATCTTCAACTATAAATTCATTTCTAGTCTAGTGTTAGTCTAATAGTACGCTTGAATTCACCAAGCGTACTATTGCGGTGGTGACGCATTGTTACATTTGCCACATCACGTCACGTTAGTTTTAAATCTCTAAATCCAATTTGCATGTATTAACTTATAAATCAATTGAATTCCTCACGTCCGTTGCGATAACAGGACTACATGTGTGGTCTATATTTATTTCACAATTGACACGTAACGTTGTATTAACTTCTCAAATATCTAAATATAAATTTACTTCTCATCTGCAACTCATTACTCCATTAGCAAGGTATACTACATATGATCTGCACATTTCACATGACACACGTATATCACACGTAGTTGAAGTCATCATGCATGGTGTTACGGTCGCAATGTGACTACACAACCCATACTTCTCACGTGATTGTAACATGTTACCTTATCAAATCTCTAAATAAAATTTATTTCTTCGTGTTGGAATGACAAGGTGGGTTATGTTATCTAAATGGAAGTTACATTTACTAACCTATGAATATATTCACAAGTTATTTAAGTCATCACTCTATTGGTAAAAAAATAAAAAATATGTTCAGTGGGCTACACATGCATGTACGCACATTTCATATAACACACGCATGTCGCACATCACGTTAAGAAATGGAATTTACATTTATACTGTAAAGTAATTAAATTTTATTGACCTACCTGTAAAGTAATTGAATTCATCAAGCGTACTATTGCGGTGGTATTGTGGACTACACGTGGTCCACACTGTAACCTTCATGACGCTGTGTTACCTTCTCAAATCTTCAACTATAAATTCATTTCTAGTCTAGTGTTAGTTCTGATCCTCATCTTCAATTCTTTCTCATATCCCCAAATATAAGTACTCGTTTTCCGCTAGTCCTCCTACTCTTTGATATGCCTCTTCAATTTTTTATCATATTCCCAAATATAAGTACTCGTTTATGTTAGTCTTCCTGCTCCATGCACTTCCAATGTCTTATCAGAAAAAGACATTTCTTGATAAACCCAATCCTACAAATCCACCCAGAAAATAGTTTGGTATGTCAAAATTCATTTACGGTAATTTGATTTGGTTTTGTAAATTGTCTAATAAGTTGCTCTTAGTTACTTTTGGTTTCTGTTGTGCTCGAGAGCAAATTGTCTTTGATTTTTGCTGTGCAACTGAGGATTCATATTGGAGTGTGCTGGCTAATGGGTTTGCATTGCTAGGCTCAAGGTGTATGTGCTATGGACCATTTTGAATTGTGCTCCTTGAGCAAACACATCATGGCCCAACATATTGATCTTTCATTTTAAACAGTGCAAAAAATCGATTTTATCAAAATTCAAATAAAAATTATTAAGAAAGAAAAAAAGTTGGTCAATCCATGGCTGCAAAAATCTCCAGTAGAGAAGAACATGTTCCTGATATCCCAAAAATCAACCCTAACACCACAATTGCCATATCCAACACCAACCTTTTCCTACTCAACTCATCCTTGTGCACTACCAAGTGAAACAAAGCAGGCAACACAAAACCCAAAACTATACACACACTGCTCCCCACCAGAGACAAGAAATCTGCAAAATTGGGCACCAAAAGTGCCACCAAACTCACCCCCAAAACCACAACCCATCTCATCCACAAACAGTACTTGCCCTCGCAAAACCTCCTCTCAACCACCTCATGAACAGGGTTCATCATCAATGGGAAAGTGAAGAACAGGTTCACACACAGACCTAGCTGGACCAGACTGCTCAATAAACCTTGCCCAAAATTGGTTGTGATTATGTCTTTGGTCTCTTCACCGAATGCAAAGTAACCCAGAACTCCGAAACCACCGTACATGAAGGAAATGAAAGCCATTGACAAACCCAGAATTTTCCCAAATTTGCTTCGGTCTTTCATCTCTGATTCCAGTGGCAAAACCATTCCAATCCCTTCGAATGCGTAGACCGCCACACCCAGACCGTAGAAGAACACTGAAAACCCCCCAAATGCTTGCAAAACAGGCCTTTGTTTCAGAAAAATCAACACATCTTCCATCATTACCACACCCATTGCTCCGATATCGACTACATCGGCGAAAATGCTCAGAGGGGCCAAATGGGTCAGCGAAGGAATCGAATTCAATCCCAATTGGAATGGAAAACAACCCCAGATGAAGAATGACTTTGGTGAAAAACCCAATATTGTGGGATTGAGATTGATTGAAGAGTAATTGAAAAGGTATGCTAAGGTATTGGCAATGAAAATGAGGTAGCTGATGCAAAAACCGGCTTGGGAGAGGACGATCATGGCGTCAACGGAGAAGCGGCCGACGGGGCCACAGACAACGAAACCCAGATCGCCGAAGGAGGATATCTTGGTCTTGGCGAAGCCGTGGAGGGATTCGAGTCGCCGACGAGTGTGGATGAGCAACATCATGCAGTGGTATGTGAGGAAGGCAACGGAGATGAGGATGAGTGAACCCATGACCCAACCTGTCCTCTTGAAGGTGTAGGGGAGGCCAAGGACACCTGAGCCAACTATAGCAATGAAGACGTTTGCGAAGGTTTTGGATTGGGAGGAGAGGTGTTTGGATTTGGAGAGGAGTGGAGTGTCCTCTCTGGATAGACGTGGAATTTGGAGCACATGAGAGGATGAGCACACTTCTTTCTCAAATCCCATGGTGTCCTGTGAGATATATATATATAGAGAGAGAGAGAGAGTAAGGGGAGGGGGGGAGGGGCGGATGACGGCTGTAATTGAATTTTGTGTGTTGAGAAGAGGAGTGGAGAGCACAAGGGAATGTGGAACTTGGTGATTTCTTTGACAGGAGATTGTTTTGCTCAAGGAGACATGCAAATGAGAGAACAGGATGATATGCACTAGTCTTCTCTCTCATCTGTATTGTAATATGTGGAGAGAGAAAAAGAGAGAGATGGGGCTGCTGCTATTATGATATTAACCAAGTTGAGAATTGTTTTTGAAAAACCCAAAACAAAAGAGGAAAATGAGTGCAAATTGCATTTGGATCACCGACAAAATACGTGGATGGGTTTGAAACGGGAGATTTTAAAGTCTAAACAAAACATTTGATTATTGGAATTAAATAGGATGCAGGAGAGCAGAACAATAAGAGATACTTTTCATTATCAGAATAATATATATTTTTCGGATATGCAACTAAAAATACATTGCTTTTTTTTCTTTTTCTTTTTTAACCTGGCAAAGATAAAAAAGATTTCATTGCAATAATCGAATATTATAATCCTGATCAAATTGTAGGACCACAGAAGGGGGAGAGAATCCACTTTCCTTCCAGTCTCTCTACACACAAATTAACCAATGCATGAGCCACTTTATTGGCTTCTCTACGGACATAAGAGAGGAGACACACATCAAATGAAGAAACTAATAAATTCTTAATGTCCCTTGTAGAGCCGAATATACAACCTGGGCATCACCCTCAAAAACAACATTCCTCCAACCTTCAAATTCATGGCAAACTACAAAGCTAGACATTCAGCTACAAGGGCACATTCAATATTATCCATTGAGACCACTGCTGCAAGCAGCACTGCCAAGTCGGAAAAACATTTAAGGTGGTAGAAGAATAAAAAAAAATGATGATTGATACCTAATAAAAGAAGTGTTTGCATTACCTTTGATTGTGATGGTGACTATGGGTTGTTCAATCAATTTCACAAATATCACAAACCCATGCTAAATCTATGATAATCTATTATGCTAAACTTCTATCTTCGAATTAAACTTCATGATGGGATCTCCCCACCAGCTCTGTGGAGTTCAATGTAGAGTAATTCCATTTCAGTTATTCAAATTGACAATTCGATGATAGAAGTTCAAAGTCAGAAAGCAACCATTTTAAGTAGAAAATAAAAAATAAAACTCGAGTTCCCTTTGAATCCGCATCCTCTCCAATACACCTGTATTCCGCAGTGGACTGAAAAGGGCTGAGATCAATCCAATAGTGGGTCATGTTGCTGAGTTGATCTCAGTCATCTCCAGTATACCACAAAACACATATTAATGGAGAGAATATTTAGTCGTCCTCTTCCCAGTTTTCCACTCTTAACGGCCCTCCTAGAGTCACTTATCATGACCTTGACCTGCCAGGCTTCTTACTCTCATATGTTAATCATATAAGGAAATCGATCTCCACTCTAGATGAGCCATTTAGCAACTCAAAGTCAGGAACAGGTTCTAGATGAGCCAATTCTCTCCACAAATACAAAAAACAAAATGAATCCCCAAATCACGAGAGCAGATAAATCACAGTGCAGAAATATCCCGTCTGAGTTTCAAGCATTTCACTAATTTAAGCTATCACTGTGTTGACAATATGAATATCCCAAGACAGTAACTCGGGCGTCAAGAAATGGGGATTGTGACCCCCATATAGGAACAAACTCATAATCTAAACTATCAGATCTATATTACAAATAAATAAAACCTATTTATTTTTATAAAAGAGAATTTGTAAGATTAGTAAAACAAGAATATAAACAACACAAACAGAAAGGCCAACAAACAAAACAAGAGAGATTAAAATTTTCAAGCAATTTTATGTATACAAGAAAAAAAATCTGATGTGATGAAGAGCAAAAGAATGATGATTGATACCCAATAAAAGAAGTGTCTACATTACCTTTGATTGTGATTGTAATTTGTCACTATGGGTTGTTCAATCAATTTGGCAAGTGGGAGGACGTTGAGGTAGTTAGGGACCTCGTGGGAATGAAAGCTACCATTGTTAGAACGAAGATTATTTTAAGTACCATTTTCATCATTCTCCTTACACATTGCATCTCTCTCTCTTCAAGTATGGTATTTCCATGTCACATGCTAAACTTTTATAGTTGAATTAAATCCACCAATGTGAGATTCATTGTCAAGTAATTCCCACTGTTTTTCAAAAGGCAACAATGCAATGGAGAAGATTTTAGTTTATATTTGAAGTTCAAAGTCAGAAAGCAACCATTTTAAGTACGCAAAAAATGAAACTTGAGTCCTCTTTGAATCAGCATTCTCTCCAGTGTACCTGTATTCCACAGTGCACTGAAAAGGGTTGAGATCAATCCAGCAGTGGATCTCGCCTGTTACTGAGTTGATCTCAGTCATCTCCAGTACACGGCAAAATATAGATTACTGGAGAGAAATTTTACTCATCCTCTTCCTAGTCTTCCACTCTTAACATCCCTCCTAGATTTACTTAATTTTGACCTTGACCTGCTAAGCTTCTTACTTTCATATGCTAATCATATAAGGAAAATGATCTCGACTCTGGTCATTTAGCAACTCAAAGTCAGGAACAGGTTCTAGATGAGCCAACCCACTCCAAATAATAACAAAATGATTTCCAAATCTTGAAAGCAAATTAAAAACAACAAAGCAGAAACATCCCCCCTCAGTTTTAAGCATTTCACTAATTTAAGCAATCACTGGGTTGACAATTATCAATTGAATACGAATAACCTAAGACAGCCATCAAGAAATCCATTGTAAGAGGCTAATTACAAATAAAATATTCATGCCTTCTAACAATCTCGTTTCTTGAACACAAAGCAAGATGTCTTAATATGACTGAAAAAATACCCTTCTCCAACATCTGTAGAACGTTGGGACACCTTCTTCCTGCAAGAAGAATCGATCAAACTGTAGCTTTTAACCAAGTCCATGAGTTCTGATGTCCTCCCAACTTTTCCCTGGCTGCCAAGCCCACTGTTCAAGGTTAATAACATTGATGAAACAGGAATTTAATCATGGCCAGCCTTCTCATTCATCAGCTTAATTCCTAAAATGAAACTGACATAAACAAGAGCACATGGAAAATGAAATACACCCTACCCCATCTGATTGCAAACCTCTTTGCATCCTCAATATGATCTCCTCACTGAAACCATCCTCAAGCCTCTATTAACAGCTCTCTTCTTAATTACAAATATGGGGGCTTCATCAAGCAGCATTCCTTATAGAACCCACATGGCCACATATATGACATTGTTATAAGGACTAATACAACCCCCAGATCCAGAACTCCTCTCCTGTACTAGTTCCACATCTTAGAACCATATCATGTCCTACCTCCAGAACACAACTCGCTAATTAAGATATCATAAGCAACAAAGTTCCAGCCAATCCCAGAAACTTTCATTTCATAAAACATATCAAGAGTGACCATAGAAATGCGTCTACATCGGGAGAGCATAGCAATGCCCAACCCTCACATTCTCTATTTTACAAAATCCTGTCATCCTCTTTAAAGCCATAACCTCGACCGTATTCCCTTTTCTGTTCACTCTTTCTAAGACCTCAACAGTGTTCTTTTACAACTCGATTTTTAGGAGATTGAAAGCTTGCCATGTTGACTGTTGAATCTAAATTCTTATCATACTTCATTGTTAATATCTAGATATCATTCCTGAATTCCATTCAAGACACAAAACAAACAGGATGGTTGCATTTCACAACATGAAATTCACATCTGAAAATTGGAATTCAGAAACATGGTTTAACGTTTGAACTAAAATAATCTTCAATTCTTATCCTAAATCGTGTATTAAATGCTCCCACAAGCAGTGTTAAGGGTATTTAATTAAAACCTGCTCACTTATCCACTACAATACTTTTCCTTTCACTGACAACTGATTTTACACCCTTTTGCAGTAGAAATTATTAGGTGGTTTTGAACCATAGGTCACTTGGTGGTCCAATCAAACCAAAATCCATGTTTAAGTTTCTTTGTAATATCTTATTAACTCTTATGAGTCCACTTTCCTTAAGTTGGAGAGTTTCAATTGGACTTAACCACATGGTCCAGGACTATCTAATAATTTCACATGCCATGCAGTTCACCTCACAATAATACGTCAATATTATTCAGTTAAAATAATCCCCCGGTGAGTTAAACATAGTGGTATTTTGTAAGTAACTTTTGAAACTAGAAAGCTAGACAGTGACATTTTTGTGCCACCTGTGCTATGGAAGTTCATTATGTTCTTTCGTGTGTGTAACACAACCCAGCACAAAAAATGAGATCCAAAATGCTATAAACTCCAACAACACATTGAAAATCTAGCATCATGCACAGCCTAGTTTTTATTTTTTGGTTATGCAAAGGGTGTCACAATTATGTAGTTGAGATTAACTCCTAAAAACATACACAATAATTTGTAAACTACAGGAATTGAGTATATCTAGAAAGAGTTGAACCTGAGACGTAGTTCTGGAGCTATCACCTCAACCAACTCACCTACATTGTGTTCTGCACTTGACTAAGTTGTTCAATAAATTGCCTAGTTTCCGTCACCTCACTTCATTATCACAACTCACAATTATCTAAGCAACACTTCAGACTTAAAAAAGCAAGTAGTAAACCATCTTAATACCTGGTTACGCCATATACACTCCTACACAGGCCATAGCAACACAAGCTCCATAATAACTAAGAAATTCATGTATTAGAGGATCCCTCTTTCTTAAGAAATTCTCTGGTTTAAAATAGTTTCTTCATAGGATTAATTGATATAATATACAGATTTCCCAATATGTCTTTCAACAGCATCAGATGATATATAAATTGATCTACAAAACAATTATCCCAATCACGTTCTTCATTTGCTTAATATTTGGTTTCCAGAAAGAATTTTCTAAAAGGAAAGAAAATTGATTAAGAAAATGAGGTTACTGATAACCTTATATTTCGTTTTCCACACACCATTTCACTTCCCAGTTAATTCTTAGCCAAAGACACATTCAGACATTTAACTTTTCATCAAGAAACAACCAGTATATATGCAAATCATGTTCTTTGAGATCACAACAAACAAACATGTTCTTTGATGCTACAGAACCATTTCAAGATTAAAATAAAAAGATAACATTCGATTGAAAAACGAAAAATTATAAAAAATTTGATCAATCCAAGTCCTTCTGAACCTTGATCCCCATAGTGTTAGCAGTGCCAATAATGGACTTGGAAATAGACTCCAGAGACATGTACTGGCAATAGGGATCGGATTGCTTTACCTTGGCTATCTCGTAAATGTGTTTTAGGGTTAGGGTTGAGACGATGTCGTGGCCGGGCCGGCTGCTGCCGGACTCAATGCCGGCGGCCTTCTTGAGGTACCAAGTGACCGACGGAGACTTCACGGTGAACTCGAACGTATTATCTTTGAAAGCAGTGATGGTCACGGCCATGGGCGTATCCGGCTTGTATTTCTGAGTCCGAGCATTGAAGTCTTTGCAAAAAGCCATTAGGTTCAGCCTGTACTGACCCAGCGCTGGTCCAACCGGCGGAGCTGGCCGAGCTCCTCCAGCTGGGACGGTGAGCCTGATCGTCGCCGCCACCGGCCGCCGTGTTAGGATCTCTTTCAGCGTCGCCATAGCTTAGAGAGAGTGAGTGTGTGTGTGTAAAATGGAGTGAGTTAAAAAAAAAAAACAAAGAACAGAAAATGTTTGGGTCCTTGATGTTTTTATTTGGGCCTATGGTTCGGTGGGCAATGGTTTCCCTCCTATAAATCTGGCCCACAACCACACCTTTCAACCCAATGGGCTGGATCAGATGTTTCAGAATAAAAAAGGGAGTTGATTTTTTATTTTTTCCCCCTTGAAAAGATTCAACTTTTCACTGATTTTAAATTATTAATGAAATGAAGTGACCGGTTCAAGATGCCCAGAACCCTAAAAGCTTGTATTTTTCTTGTCACTTGTGGGGGTGTGAATGTGTTTTTTAGAAGGGTAATTTTGTCAATTTATTTCTTATATAAAAGCAAGTGAAGAAAAGTAAAGCGTGAATGTGTTTTTTTATTTTTTTTTTATTTTTTGGTCAATAAAATCACATTTTATGGACAAGAAGGAAAATATAGATATATATATAAAGTAAGGATGTGTTTGGACTGACTTCCACTGCACAGGTGAATATATAGAGGGACTTTTAGTGCAACAAGGCGTGAAAATAGAGAGTGAAACGAGTAACAAACAATTCATTTGATAGCTCTGTTGCCAAAATAAACTACATAAGAGAAGATAAAAACTACATAAGAGGCATTGTCAATTTATCATAATATTCCATGACTCACATCCTTTTTTCTAGTTTTCTTTGCATTGCTTGTGCCCTAATCTCTTAACATTTCTCATCAATGCAAATGAAGTGTGAATTTAAGTATTATAACAATGAGATTACATGCTAATGTTAGTGATAACAAGAATTTTACAATCTACTGACACTGAGGATCAGAAAAAATATTACTCCGAGCTTCAAAATCGTACAGAACTCGGATGCATATGTTTTTTTTTCACTCAACAATCAGCAATGTCCAACCGCGGAGAGGGGCAGAAGAAACTCAGGAAAAAACCCCACTGGTAGTAGTAACTCCAGTCATGTCTGTACAAGCCGTTGAACAATTCTTTTCTTACACATTATTCAGGACGCCCTTTAAGAGATCCAGCCCTTCAGCTGATATGCTCCTCCTCCTATGAGATCTAGGTATTTCGATTCGAGGGGGAGGGTCTGGGGAGAAACAGACCACCACAACTGTCAGGTTGTCACAGGTGTTGCGCTTGAGCGCCTCTCTGACAAGCTCTCTCGAGCACCTGTCAGGGTCGTTGTGCAACATGAGCTCCTTCCTCACCATTGTTACTGCACATTGGCTGCTCATCACATCCCACAGGCCATCACAGCCCATTATCAAAAACTCGTCTTCCTCTGTCAAAACAACCTCCTCCAACTCTGGCTCAGAGCTTAACGGGTAGATTGAACCTTTTGGTCCCTTCATGTGCCAGTCTCCGAGTGCACGTGCCACAGATAGTTGGCCATTAAGATAGCCGTCATAAATAACACCACCTAGTTTCTCAATTCTTAGCTTTTCGGATGTGCAGTTGGGTTTGTGGTCTTTAGATAGTTCAATTGCTCTTCCCCGTTTGCCCAGTACAGCTCGAGAGTCCCCGGCATTAGCAATTAGCATGGTCCTGTAGATGGAAGGAGCATTAGACAAAATTGAAAGAGAGAATATGATTATGCGAGGGTATCTATGGTTGTGATAATTAATGAGAGGTGAAGTTCAGTACACGTTGGAAAGTAAAGCATCAAACTTGGGACCAAATTGAGGTCTTTTTACATCAACCTATAATTTACCAGATGTGTTGGGTGTTAAACATAAACCAGAAAAAAGGACCATGAGCATTGGCACAAGATGCGACACAAATGGGACCTCACTCTACAAGACCTAACTCAACAATAAAAATCCCATTTTATACTGAATCTTTTGATTCAAACATGGATGTATATGGGTGAATGGTACGTTGTTCGTTTAATATCACTAATAAGGTTTTTTTTTTTTTTTTACCATAAGTGAAAATTTATTACCAAAAAACTATAAGAATACAACAGAACAGAGCAAGGGCATCCCCTCACTATACAAAGGGATCAAATAAGCCCATTTCCAGAAGCTAGCAACAAGAAGTAACAATACCATCAGAATTCTACAGTCAAAAGACACCAGTACACCAAATAAAGCTTTACCACCCTAATGTTAGTCCCTTTCTTTATCCTCCTGTTCCTCAGATGCTGATTACTCCTCCCATCATACCAAGACTTATCCCAGAATTTTCCACAGGTTGGAAATTCCCAGGCACAACCTTCATTATCCCCATAGCTACCCAAAGCCAAATATAGAACGGTAAAACACTTTCTCCATCATACAGCTTGTCATTCATTTTCCAATTACTGAATCTTTTCTCAATCCAGCAATTCCAACTATTCTTTAACAGTTAGGGAATAAACGTCAGTTCAATTTACTCCCTTGGAATCAATAGCTTCCCAAACAAGTCTTCTAGCTATTTGACAGGCTTCCATTCCTTCTCCTTGGTGTAAGAGATGATTCCAGTTTCTCCATATTTTCCTAACTGCCAGAGTGAAAATTATTCTGCATAATTTATGTCTAAGTTGTTTCCCATTGAATTTAGATTGGAACCACAACCTCAATTGAGTAAAGGAACTAATAGAGCCCCAGTTCAACTTGAAGAATTCTGCTAACCATTTCCAAACAGTCCGAGCAAATCCACAATTAAAGAGAAGGTGTTCAACTGAGTCCCCACCCTTCATATAATTATGGCCCCACTTACCAGGTTGTTTGAGGATCTTATGCTTCAGACCTCACCAAATTAAAAGTCAGCCTAGAACCAACCAAGTCCAAAGAAAAAATTAAAAGAGAAAGAGAAGACCATAGACAGATGAACCTTTACCTAATAATTATTTTATTTTTCATTTGAAAATTAAATGAGGAAAAATATCTAGGAAAAGACTTAAGAGAAGTTTCATCCAATCAAAGAACTTGATCCTTGATGGGGGCCCAATTTCCTCAGTCAACACTAAAGCAAAGTATTGTAGGGAAAATGACATCTTCTGACAATGCTACCCTATAGGGAAAAGTACTAGGAAAAATTTCTGCACAAATTATTGCTTTTATAGAAAATCTTGATGGTTCAGCAGAGTTCCTCTCCAATTTGCAGATTGACGGACCCACAAATTGGACGTTTCAATTCATGAACTTAACCATGGACCGCACTTTACAAGCATTTACAGCCACCTATCTCGATATAAAGTACTGATTCTGCTGTAAGGGATATCCAAACACTGAGTGAACAAGCCTAACACTAGATTTGTGTGAAGTATGCACCAAAAAGTGTATATAACCTTCTGAACATATCAATTTCGAATGCACATGAGTAGAGGTCCTGTGATGCTCTTGACCTTAATTTTTTCAAAAATGGCTTCTCTAGCTAAGCGGACGGGAAACCTAGGTCCTAACCTGAGAACAGAAAGCTAGAAAAGGGTGTTAAAATAATAATAATAATAATAATGATCATAGTAATGATAATCTGCAAAAATGTTCATTTGTGTATCATATCATCCTGATGAGCTTAGGTCCATCTCAGGGAGATTCTGTATTACAATATCAGGGTTATCATTGAAAAATGGATGGTCAAGGCAGCCATGATAGCAGCAGCCAAGAGAACAGATGTCTCAATCTCAAATCACATTAGTGTTAATAGCATAATAAAGAGCATTTGATAATGCTGCAGGAGTCTTTTTTCTTCGTTTTTTTTTTTACATAGTTATGAGTCTTTCCACGTCAAGGACATAATTACTAAAACTAATCCCCAATATATCAGGACATGTATGAGCAGCAAAATTTTCGTTCTTCTTTTTCAATTTCAATTTATATTTGTTATCATGATTTCAGTATCTTTATCAAACTAAATCTATGGGAACTCAATAGGATCTTCAGAGGGGGAGTTCCAAGGTTAAAGTTTCTCGACTAGGATAGAGAAGTTAAGCTAATATAATCCTGTAGCCTGATACTCTAAGAAAACATACCAGTCCTAGAAGCTGTTTTTCACCGAGAATAAGGATTTTCTAATTATAATTATATACCAGGCAACAGAGTGAATACCAAAGAAACAGTAAGCAATGCATCAATTCTAGGAATATAGTGTGAACTTCATTCAGCACCAGTGATATACAAAATTTAAAGCCAACTGTCAAGCAAAAGTAGTTCAGCTTCTCACCTTCCTAATATAAGGGCAGTCAGAACAGTGGTACCCGAAGTTCTATCAAGAGATTTAGCATCTGCTAATGCATGATCAGCTTTCACAAAAGCATTCCTAATGGCTCTTTTTACCCCTACTGGAAAATGAGAGTCCTCAACAATAAACTTAAGCATGTTCTTTCTAGTGAATGACGCAGCATCAACACCACCATGCCCATCAAACACCTGTGAGATAAACAACAAATGTCATCAGGCAACTCAAGCAAGCACAATAATTGAAAGGGCAAAATAATAAGGGAACTCTGGAAGTACATGCTCCTTGATAGGGAACTTTCTCCTTCAGAAGTCACCCAAAATGAAATAATTGACAAGTCCATGGCAAGTTACTCCTGGATTCTTTTAATAAAGAATGCAAATGGTCCACAAAAAGGTCATTAATAAGATGGCTCAGATATAAAGTAAGGTGATATCATCTGGACATTTCTAATCAAGTAGGATGTATGTACCTCATAAGTTATGCACTAAAAATCATAAAGTACAAAAGAATTCCCCTCATAAATCAATGTGATCCATAAACTGAAAGTAAGTTGCACACCCCATAAAATGCTCCAGAAGAATGGAAGTTTGACTCTGCGCCTAGATGCTCCTGAAGATTATCCACACAGATGTACTCATCCTCCATATACGGTTTTGGTCCCATCTCAGAACAGCTGCCCGAACGAAACAGAGGTAAAAATTCCGATGTCTCACCAGATGGTGACTTTAAACCAATAATCTCACTAGACGATTCCTAGACAAAAAGGGCATAGGTAACAATTAGTAAGGTTTTTGATTAATCACAAAACAAGAATATCAAGTCAACTTAAAAGAGCCTTTGACCAACAGAACAGATGCAGTCAGTCAGAGACACAGCATACATTATGCTATTTAGTATATTTACTCAGGTAATGGTGTGACATTAATCGAAAGACATAACACACTGTTTTATAGACAACCTTCCTTACGGACCATGTGTTTCGCTTTGGGGAAAGCTCGACCGAATGAAGCTGATTCACTCATTTCCATGGTGTCAAAAACAAGGAACAATAAATTATTACCAATAGAAGGAAATCTAATGGCCTATATGAGAATAGTTTCAGCTAAAACTACTGCTTTTATGCAACTTTTGCAAACACTAAATATAGCACACACTGTTTGATGGATTTCGTATTTTGAATGATCTCTTCAATTATATTGATGAACACATATGAATGCAATCTCCCAGATCTATTATTACTGACAACTCTAAAACAACTATTTGAGGTTCAATGATTAAACCTGCACCTTTGAATTATGTAATTACTGTACAACATACAGGGTTCAAGATCAATAACTACAATCAATTTATTCCAAACATGGTCCAAATCCAAATCCAAAATCCAATTAGTGGGAAAAAAATGCAGATGTATATTCGTGGGAAACTGCTTGATAATTGACCTCTAGACCTCAAGTCATAAAAATGTAAGCAATTGGGTAACAGTCGATGCTACTCACCAATTCAATGTTACCTGCCAACATCGCGTGGCTGATGCTATGCCTCATGGCCGAGAGGTTTCTCGGCGGCTTCGCGGCCTTCTCTTGGCTCAATTTAACCACTGATTCATGATCCTCATCTACCATGGATGACACACTCTCCTTACAGCACCCACCATCTGAAACCATACACTGCAGCGACGCATCGGTGCCCGGAGCCATTGCACCACCAGACCGATCCAATTCAATCATCAAACACAACAAATACTCAAACCAGTTCTTAGCTGTTGACCAATGGATGAAAACAACTGTTCAACCTCTACCCAACCCACAGATCACAAACACACAACCATGAAACAACCCATTTTGTTTTACAGCACATAGACAGCTGTAGAGCTATTCTTCGATCCAAAGCGAAATACAGCTTTTGGGTACAACAGAGACATTATAGCCCTCCTCATTCTTCGGATTTCACAAAGAAGCAAACATACCCACATGAAAACTTTTCAATATAACCTTAATTTAAATCAAAATTCACAAAACCCACAAAAATTTCAAGCTCAATAGACACAACTTTTGAATCTATCCTTAATTTAAATCAAAACTCACAAAACCCACAAAAATTTCAAGCTCAATAACCTCGCATTGCACAAAGAACAATCAATATATGAAATTGACCCAGAAAGAACCAATTTAATTGTACAATTTTTTGTGCATTTCGTAAAAGTACAGAACCTGAAGAAGCTGAAGAAAATGAGAAGAGGCTAGAAGCAGAGCATCGAAGTAGGAAATGGAGGACCGTTGGAGAGAGTAATAGAGTTTTGTGCGAGTGGTGAGCCCAGGTTTCGCGGTCGGCTTTGTAGGGTGGATGGTTTTGGAAAAATGGGAACTTGGGAAAGGAGATTGTGGGGTTGTGCCACGTGGGGGGGTGTTCTAGCTCACCGGATGGCCTTGTGTTGTGTTGGGTTCTTGATGGGATCACTCACACTCAGGCAGGTAGGGCTCTGTGTGGCGATGGATATATCTGGTTCGTGATTGATGATGTTCCATGTGAGATCAAAGCGTGATGATGATGTTGACTGTGTCTAAAAAATGAGTAGGATTACTAGGATGATAAGAATGGAAAGGAATGGATAGGAGAGAAAAGGAAAGAAAAAGGAGATGATAGTAGTGGTCTTTCCATGTAGTGAATGGTAAATTACAAGTAGCACCCCTCTAATTAAGATTTATTATACTTACTTCCCCTCTGTGATTTATCAAATTGTCCAACGTTTTTTACTTTGAGCTCTCTTAAATTCATTTGCCATAGTTAAAAAGTAACTTTGAGTATGAAAAGTCAATAACACCCTTATATTTTGCTACAGTTTATACAAGAGAAATGGTAAAATTGTCATTTTGATAAAATTTAGTCAACGGATCTATCAAAAAGAAAACACTAAGGTGTCATTGAGTATATGCGCCAAATATCACGGGAGGTTAAAATAATAAACGTTAAATGGTTTATCCGTGTGTAATTTATCTTAATCTCAAGAGTGGTCACTTTAATTTACCCTTAATTATTGTACTTAGCTCCATATATTTTGGATAGTACAATTATTCCTAACTAAAGAAAATTTGATGGACATAAATATTGTGATTTGGGAATATAATTATATTTTCGCATATAAGTATGGTACAAAAGTGTCTTCACAATAATTTGAAAAGAAGATTTGTCATATGAAGCTAGATATTTGACCGTTAGTGAAATTTAGGGCATGGTTGATTTGTTATACATATGTTACTAAAGCTGGGGTAACTATAATTTTTGAAAATACAATTGAGAAAGTGCAGTAAACCTTAACTAAATGGGAGATAAGTGCAATTTACCCATCCTTATATAAACTAGGGAAAAAAAAAAAAAATGTTATTTACATTTCAATTTTAGAAAAAACAATTGTCCTTTTAAACGCTATTATCCACTCTAATTTTGAGAGTAATTTTGTCATTTTATTTAAATGTTAAAACACAAATAACAAATATGCGAATATAATATTCCTTATTAATTTTCTAAGTGATTAGGGCAAGATAGAATTTACTTGTTTTTTAAAATGACCTAAGCTAATTCTTACAAACTTCCTCTCCGTTTAACTTGAGTGTTCAAGTGATAAATACAGAGGTATGTTTAGTTTGTAATTTCAAAAATATTTTTTTATTTTTAAAAAGTTAAAAATTAAAAAATTGTATAAAAATTCTGCTTAGTTCAGATTTATGAATTTTTTTTAAAAAACTCACTTATAAAAATGTACATTTTAAGATAACGGTTTTTATAATTATTTAAAAATAATTTTTTTAAAAAAAATTATTGAGAACTATTTTCAAAATTATAAAACAAACAAGGTCGGTGCTTTTAAAAAAAATTTCTTCATCTTTCCTTTTACAATAAATAGTACAAGATAAGTTCTCCTCATTATTTTATTCAATTATTTTTTCTTTATTTATTAGACTGATGATTGTGTTGTCGAACTTTTTAGAACACCTGTTATTTAATCATGGAGCCATCTAAGTTATTCCGCTGAAGTTATTAATATTCAATTAATTGAATAAATAGGATAGGACAAAAAGAGAGAGAGAGAGAGAAATGATAAAATTAATTATAATAAAATATATTTTGTGTTACATTACAGTGGAAAAAATAAAATATGAAACAAAACTTTTCCACTCTCCATCGTTCTTCCCCATCCTCTCTCTCTTCTTTTTCTCCTTCCGACTCCTACAAGAGAAATCACCGTTAACTTATCATCAAAAATAGATTTTAATGAATGAGTCAAACAAGTTTATTAGTATCATTTGAAGTGACTGAATGATATTTGACCATTTTGATTATTAAAAATAATTTGATTATCTAGAAAAAAAATTAAAAAGTGATGAAAATTCAATTATTAAAACCATCCAGTTATTTGTAGGGGAGAGAAAATGTAATAGAGGAGAGAGGAAAGAATTATTCCGACTTGGATGTCAGGAATTCAAGGATTGGGCCCACTTACTTCCTAACCACACACTAATAGTCTACTTATTTGTCCAAAGCATCTTTTTGGGACAAATTGAAAGTATTTTGAGAAAATCCAGGTTTTTAACTTATCTGTTTTTTTATTTTATTTTATTTTTTTTGGGATGGGAGGGTTTAGATTTTTATTATTTATTGATTAGACAATTATTAAGTTTAACACTCTAAAAGAAGAAGAGAACATAACCTATTATTATCAAATACTAATAAGAGTTATTGTTGGAAAATCTATTATTGTAGTCGCAAAAAATACCAATATATGGATGAAACAATCAATCTTAACCGATGAATGTATTAGTTCCACATTTGTCAGAGAGAGAGAGAGAGAGTCATTTGAGTTAATATGTCCTGGGTAGAAAGAAAAAAAACACGTGAGTTTGAAAGTATGAAAAATTGGGAAGAAGAAGAATAGAAGTGGTAGATGGGGTGAACATGGGAAAGGAAAAGAATCATTCATAAATAAAATAAAACTCAAAAGGAGTAATATATAATTTGACTATTTTAATATTGTGTTATTAAAAAGATACTTTTTTGGAAGGGTAAAAAAGAACTATGAAAAAGGAGACAAAAGAATGAAAGAAAAAAAAAAAAGTAACTTTGAAAATAATTCTAAAAAATAATTATCTGAAAATAAATATTTTTATAATTGAAATTTTTAACAATTATAACAAGCAAAGTCTTATACAGTTTTTAAATTTTTAATTATCTGATTATTTTCAGAAATACAATTTGTGTAATCCAAAGATTGTTGTCTCCAGTCTTCAACCTCCCATTTGGAGAAATGGTTTTTTCTTACTTTCCCTTTGCACTTCCTCCCTACCAAATAATAAAACAATGGTATTAGTAAATTCAACGTGTATGTCATGCGATTCATGCGTATATATATATATATATATATATATATATATACAATCCCCTTGTTATTTGTTAGGCCAACTGGAAAATAAATAGTGACCACACTGGGTGGTGCATTTTGTCGTCATGTCATTGCGTATTATAATTTATAAGTCATAACCATTTATTCTTCTTATGTACCTTCTTGGAGAGTCGGGAAGCTTCCTTTTGCTGAATCTTCTGTCAATCAATGGCCTTTAGAATCAGATGGTTGAAATTCCATCACTAAATGGGCCATTTCATCTTTACGTTCAAAATTATGAATGTTTGTTTTGGCTGTATTCGCCTGTACATAATTTATGAAAGAAAAATACTAAACTTTCCGACAGTTGAATTCGATGATACCCCTCCCTTCTCACATAGAGAGTCTGATGCTCCTAGAATTACTCATATTTGGGATTCGCCTCTAAAATTACTCTTTATGACTCATAACGGAGAGTCAATTTGCAGGTGCTCCTAAAATTACTCTTTATGATTCAGAGTTGATGAGTATCCCTAAGATTACTCGTTATGAAAAGAAATAAAATACAAAGTAACTTCATTCTTCTAGTCTGTACAACTTCTCTCTCTAACCGAGTTGATTCTGTTTGAATCAGGATAATTGAAATATTACATTACCCGTAATTTGTGTCAAGTCTCACATTATCTTGTAATTTTTTCTTTAATTTTTACACTTACGCTACTTGTGCAGGGAATATAGCTGTAAAAATCGTTTTTGCTTTGTTTTTTTCTGCCCAAATTTCATATGTTAAATTATTAAAGTTTTATTTTTTTATTTTTTTCGAAGCCATTAAAATAAACAATAAGAGGAAACACGAGGAAGATCTGTCTCAAAAGATGTCACACTTCTCAAGCAAGATCACCTTAATTATATTTAAGAGCCGACTGTCCTATTTCATGAACTATCCTGTTACAACTTTTAAGAACCCAACTCAATGAAAAGTTAGTTTCATTAGAATCATCAAAAATCATTTTAGCTATATCTTCAACCACAATCGCTGAGAAGGAATCTAGAGAAAAAAGGGACTTAACACACTTACAATCTCCATCAACAATGAATTAGGTGTAACCCCAAACCTGCAACAGACGTAACCAAAACGAACAACAAAAACCTCTGTCATGAAAGTAGAGTGGACAAAATAAAAAAGGCACGAAGCAACTCTCACCGCTTTGTCCTAAGAGTCTGTCAATATTAATCCTCCATCACATCTCTTGGACAACGATAAAAAATTTTCAAACCATTAAAAAAATATATATTAAAGTTTTTAACCATTAAAAAAATGTCGTTTAGGCAATATTTTCTCAACTCTTATTAAAGGGTTGAAGTCGCTTTAGAAACAAATGAATATTGTATTATTTACCCTGACTCCCAAAATATATTACATCATATGACGTATTCATCCAACAGTGGTGGACGATTGGATTGAGTGCCACTGAATCTGACAATCCACAAATTTCATACACGTGGCTGCGCAAGCGTATAAAAGTTGTACACACATATAGTACGTGTGTATCGAGGTATTGGATTCACAGCAATTCGGTGGGCTTTTCACTAACAGCCCTGTCCCTATCACTGTGTCGTTACTTAATTTGGAATTTGGATTTAGAATTAAAATCCATACCAGCCAAATATTTTCTTGTCGGTTTTTATATGTGGTCAATAACGCCATGCCATCTAAACACATAGAGAGGTAATTTAGTCATTTCACTAACATACAAAATTTTTGAGATTGCCAACCAACTATCATGCTTTGCTTTTCAAGCATGCCAGTTTGATGTTATGTCTGTCCGTCATCCCCACACAAATTTTGCCCCTCACATCCTTTATCAGCCTCAAAACATATACACGCACACACACATTACTTATACATATATATATATATATATATATATATATATATATTTTACATACATGACTATAGACAGTCACCTGTAATAGAAAAGTTGAATTATTTACGCCGTACGCAGTAATTGGACCCAACAATATGTCACCGTCAACCTGGAACCCCACATGCTAAACATGCTTATTTGACACAAAGTTTTGTCTTCTTGTTTTTTTTTTTTTTTTTTTTTTTTTTTTTCTCGATAATTATAAGGAGAATTTGTTGGTTCTGCATTAACTCCATTGGGAGAGTGGTGGAAGTGTGGAACCCAGCTCTCAATTTGCTTTTTTTCCTAAATCCATTTGCTTCATTTTGGTGGCTCTTCTTTAGGTTTGGAATGGACGGTTGGTGCTAAACTGAGCTACTTTGTAAGTGCTCTCTCTATTCACTTGTGTTTATTTATGTTCTAATCTTCAAGAACATTTCTTTTCCCCTTTTTTGCTTCTTCCGCTCCAAGGTCATGTCTATTCTTCTAATTTTTCATTTATTAAACTTTATTGATTTAATCTTTTCTTCATTACTTTCAAATAAATTGGCCTCCTTTCTCTTCATGCTGCTATTATTACCTCTGATGGGGACTCATTGTTTGATTACTTTTGGATTGTGTGATTCCTGAATATTTTTGGGTTTTTGTTATTGAGCTAAAACAAGCTTAATTTTTTATTTATTTTTTGTATTTGTGTTAATTAGGGTTTAGTTTTTTCTGTTTTCCCATTAAAATGTGTCTATTGTTAACTTTCTTGTGATAATGTTGTTATGGAATTCACCTTAGAGCTTGAGCTTTCTTGCCATTTAATGTTGTAATGGATTTCAACTTGGAGTTTGAGCCTTCACACACACACATATATATATTGAAAGGTACTTGTGTTAATTAGGGTTTAGTTTTTTCTCTTTGCACATTAAAATTTGTCTATAGTTAGCTTTCTTGTGATGTAATGTTGTTATGGAATTCACTTTAGAGCTTGAGCTTTCTTGCCATTTAATGTTGTAATGGAATTCAACTTAGAGGTTGAGTCTTCATTTTGGCATCATTAATGTATTGATAAATCTTTGTTTAGTACTGTTAATTTTTATTCTGAATTGTTTTCTTAGATATTCCTAGTGAAGAAGATGAAGATTAGAATATTTGAGAAGAAAACTAATTACTGAAATTAAGGACTTTCTTTATTTAAAACTTTTGACTTCCATTGATTGATTTTGTTTCCTTCTCAATTCTAATCTTCCTTGAGAATCTTCATCTTCTTCATTAATTCCAAACATGTTGAATTAGTTTGAGAGACTTTAGGCATTTGTCAGTGTTTGAAATTGGAGTTTTCAATCAGAATTCTAATGTTTTGATTCTGTGAACTGCACATTACAGGTTGAAGTTTGGGGTTTATGATCGGACAATTTGCAATGAATCTAGTCTGGGTATTGGTGTTATTGGTTTTCTGCAATGGATTTTTTCAAAATGGAGTTAGCAAAAATGTTTCTACACGACCCGCCATTGTGAACATTGGGTCTATATTTACTTTTGATTCTGTAATAGGCAAAGTTGCAAAAGTTGCCTTAGAGGCTGCAGTCAAAGATGTGAATTCCGATCCGGATGTTCTTCATGGAACCGAGCTACGACTTACAATGCATGACACCAATTTTAGTGGATTTATGGGCATTATTGAGGGTACACTCTTTCTAACAAATCTAGTTTCCATCCTTTTTTTTTTTTGGGCTAGCAACATGCTTTCTCAGATAAGTTTCTTAGAATGTCAGCTTGATCATTATGTATTGTATATTTTTAATTTTGGTTCTATTAATGATAACAGCTTTGCGGTTCATGGGGACTGATACTGTGGCCATAATTGGGCCCCAATCATCCGTTACGGCTCATGTGATTTCACATGTTGCGAATGAGCTCCAAGTGCCTTTGTTATCCTTTTCTGCAACAGATCCAACTCTGTCTTCACTTCAGTACCCGTTCTTCGTTAGGACAGCACAGAATGATCTGTTCCAGATGGCTGCGATTGCTCAAATGGTTGAGTACTATGGATGGAGAGAGGTAATAGCAATCTATGCCGATGATGATCATGGGAGGAATGGAATAGCTGCACTGGGGGATCAACTTGCCGCGAGACGTTGTCAAATCTCTTACAAAGCTGCTTTGAATCCTGTAGCAACTCGAGCTGACATCACAGATGTCTTGGTTAAGGTGGCTTTATCAGAGTCCCGGATTCTCATTCTTCACACTTATTTGGGTTGGAGTTTAGAAGTCTTTGCTGTGGCACGATATCTTGGGATGATGGGTAGTGGATATGTGTGGGTAGCTACAAATTGGCTCTCAACTATCTTGGAAACTAATTCTCCCCTCCCTCCAGAGACAATGGAGAATATTCAAGGAGTTATTACATTGCGTATGTACACACCGGATTCGGAACTAAAGAGACGCTTTGTCTCTAGGTGGAGCAACTTGACAAGTAAAGTGACGACTAAAGGCCCAATCGGGCTGAGTACCTATGGCCTATACGCCTATGACACTGTCTGGCTACTTGCTCATGGAATTGATGCATTTTTCAATCAAGGTGGAAGGATCTCATTTTCTAATGATTCCAGGTTAGATAAGCTAAGTGAAGGGAGCTTACGCCTTAATGCTATGACCATCTTTGATGAAGGGAACTTGTTGCTCAACAGCATTTTAAAGGTTAATATGACTGGTGTAACAGGACCGATGAACTTTACTTCGGACAGATCCCTATTTCATCCTGCATATGAAGTTATTAATGTGATTGGAACAGGCTCTAGGAGAATTGGTTATTGGTCAAATTATTCTGGTTTGTCAGTTGTGCCTCCCGAAACACTCTACACAAAGCCACCTAATCGTTCCAGTTCCAGTCAACAACTGTACGGTGCAGTCTGGCCTGGACAAACAACACAAAAACCTCGTGGATGGGTTTTCCCGAACAATGGAAGGCATTTGAAAATTGGAGTTCCAAATCGAGTCAGTTATCGTGAATTTATTGCACAAATACCAGGCACCGATATGTTCAAAGGGTACTGCATTGATGTTTTTACTGCTGCCCTGAACTTGTTGCCATATGCTGTCCCATATAAACTAGTACCATTTGGGGATGGTATTAAAAACCCAAGTTGCACTGAGCTTGTGCGGTTGATCACTGCTGGTGTGAGTATGAAAATCAGAGCATTTATTATACTTCTGATAAGCTGTGTGCTTTCTATCTAATTCTCTGCCATTTTCTCTTGCGTACAGGTCTATGATGCTGCAATTGGTGACATTGCAATCATCACTAATCGAACAAGAATGGTGGATTTTACGCAGCCATATGTTGAGTCTGGTCTAGTTGTGGTGGCACCTGTTAGGAAATTAAACTCTAATGCTTGGGCTTTTCTGAGGCCATTTGATAAAAGGATGTGGGCCGTGACAGGAACCTTTTTCCTAATTGTTGGAGCAGTTGTTTGGATTTTGGAACATAGGATGAATGATGAATTTCGCGGCCCCCCTAGGAAACAAGTTGTCACTATTCTATGGTGAGTGCCTAAGAAATATCTACAAATTTATAGGACAAAATGAAAATTTTCTTTTCTTTTCTTTACTATGTTCCCACCTTGAGCAATTTGGAAGATAAAAGAGATCAAAAGAATTACAGCTATCACCACATGGAAACTGCATTAACATTACTGCACTTTGAAGTTGAAGTTCCTTTCCTTCATTCAGCATATACATCTTTTCCTTTGTTAACTAAAGATCAAATGACACAGATGGTTTAGTTTCTTCTTTCTTTCTTCCAAATACAATGCTTATTTTCCAAATTAATCATTTGGCGTATCTTCTTCATTCAAGTTGCTCTGTGCCTTATCTTTGTGCATTCAATTTGCAGGTTTAGCTTTTCGACATTGTTCTTTTCCCATAGTAAGTGTTCTGACATTGATTTTAACAATTGTCTTTGCTTGCCACTCAGAGGAATTGAAGTTCCCTGTTTCTGTTTTATGCAGAAGAAAATACAGTCAGCACCCTTGGTCGCCTTGTGCTTATCATATGGCTTTTTGTGGTTCTAATAATCAATTCAAGTTACACTGCAAGTCTGACCTCAATACTCACAGTGCAGCACCTTTCTTCGCCCATTAAAGGGATTGAAAGTCTAATGAAAAGCAATGCCCCAATCGGCTACCAACAGGGTTCATTTGCCCAGAATTATTTGAGTGAGGAACTTAAAATTCATGAATCTAGGTTGGTTCCTCTAAACTCCCCAGAAGAATATGAAAAAGCCTTAAAGGACGGTCCCAATAAGGGTGGTGTTGCTGCAGTGGTTGATGAGCGTGCATATATAGAACTCTTCCTTTCAAGCCGGTGCGAATTCAGTATCGTAGGTTCAGAGTTCACCAAAAGTGGGTGGGGATTTGTAAGTAATTCCTTATCAACAACACATTTTTTTGTGGAAATTGTGTCTTTTGGAACAAGCTTTTGTGATTCACCGAAATTCACAATCACCATGCACTGCAACAGGGTGTGGATGATTGCTCATTGTCATCCTACCAGAAAAGAATAGTATTTCCTAATGGTCTTCCTTTCTATAAAATGACCAAAACGTTAATCCTGTGAAGGCACACCAGATGGATCACTAAAACCGGCAGCTAGGGTGTGCACCTTTCAAGTGTTTGCTAACGCTTGACATGAGTATATGAACAATTATGCCTCAATGTGTGTGTGTATCATTTCTGTTTCTGCTCTGCAGTAATATTTCCAAAAGAAAAGAGAACAGTTCTTTATTTTCCTTTTTGGGTGGCCAGGGAAGTAACTGAGAAATTGCAGTTAAATCATGGTAATAGATCTGTTAGTTTTAAAGCAGCAAGGAAGGGTAATATATAAATAAAAAAACAGACAGTCCCAAAACTTTAAGATTCATGATAACAGTACTGCCTAAAAGATGCTGCTTGACTATTTCCTTAGCCGTCTTCTGTACATGCTAATGTCAAAGTAAAACATCTATATATTCTTATGCGAAGGGATATGTAAATCACCCTTAACTGTCCATGCATGTTGAACATTTTTTTCATAGTCAACTACTTATAGTTATTGTACTGCTCTGTTCTAACCTACCAGGCCTTTCCAAGGGACTCTCCTTTAGCAGTAGACATGTCAACTGCCCTTTTGCAGCTGTCGGAGAATGGTGAACTCCAAAGGATCCATGACAAATGGCTTATGAGAAGTGCTTGCAGCTTACAAGGTGCAAAGCTTGATGTGGATCGGCTTGAGCTGAAAAGCTTTTCAGGCCTCTTCCTCATAAGTGGATTAGCATGCTTGCTTGCTCTCCTTGTTTATTTCATTCTGATGGTACGCCAGTTCATCCAGCATTACTCTGAGCCCGAGGAGTCTGATTCGTCTAGTCGAAGCTTACGATCAGCGCGTCTTCAGACATTCCTTTCATTTGCTGATGAGAAGGAAGAGACAACAAAAAGCCGATCCAAGAGAAGGCAAATGGAGAGGGATTCAATTAGAAGCAACGAGGGAGATGGATCATCAAATGGTTCCAAGAAAAACCTTACTGAGATATCTTCAAACAGAAATGTTGGTTTTGAAATGCAACCTAATTAGTTCATCCTGAACCAGGTTATATAATCTTTTACTTGTAGCTTACATATTTTATTATCATATTTGGTTTCTCACCATTGTAATTCTTACTATGCTGGTCCTCTGAATGTGTCTTTTAAATCTTGGCAGTCTGCACATTAATGTTGGTCTCATGCTGCTGTACTAATGTACATTATGCAATTTAACTTGAGAACTAATTTAGTACTGCTGTACTTTCTTGGTTATCTAAGTAAACACTGAAAACTGATTCTGTAAATAACAGAGGTTCATCAGAAGCTCCTGGTTGTCTGCCTCTCTTTTAAAACCTCCTTCCAGCATCTTAGATATTGGTCCGTCTGTCTAAACTCAACCTGATAAAGTTCCAGGCATACTTCAGTTATGTTTTTCGCCCCTTAACGAACTTGAGTTTTTCCTTATTCGCTCAATTGTGTATTTATTTGTTCTTAAAGGTAGTTATTCCAGTCCGGTGAATCGACAGCTATATTGGGTTAGGTCGGAGTTTTTAATAGCAAACTTATGGCTGATTATTGGATACCGTTAGTTCACCTTAGAATTGTGAAGGACTATCACTCAAAAGAAAGCAAAAATGAAGTTTGTTTAGGATATACTTGCTGTATGCTGATGCTAGGGATATTGATAGCCCTATATATATTATGGGACTGGTTAAGTTATAGTTAAAGCCACTCCCAATTACAACAAGACCAATTCCGGAAACCCATGACATGCTCCAAACTAAGTTCCATTCACCTATGGAATGCCGTACAGGGTGGTGAATGTGATGAAAAAATGCATTATCGCAGACCACCCACATCACACTCCCCAATCTGTAGGCATTTTATGTGCACAAAAGAGTGTGGTACATGATATGAACCATGTTGGCAAGAAAAAATAAAGAGAGACAAAAAATATGTAGTACAATGCTAAGAGGACAAAGTGAAATCAGTAAAATAGCAAATGAACAGAGAACTGAACAAGAAATGCTGGATGATAGCAAATAAAAAGATTGATCAGCTAGCATTTCATATATTATTAGACTACAGCAATTTTTAAATGTGACACAAAACCTATAACGGACGAGTTACCCGGGCTTTGATAGTGTCCTTTGGCAGTGAGAAACCTACTTCATACCATGAGTCCTGTTAAGCAGTCAGAGTGGGCAAGGGGTCAAATTACATTGCTTTTAAAACACTTGTGAAAGCATTCCTCTTCCCTACAGCACTTGTACATAATTCTGTATACTCAATCTAGAATTTCAGGGATTCTGTTCAAAGTTTAACCTGAGGTGCTAATTGCAAATCTCAGTGGAGGTCAAGATAATTTACTGCTTTTAGAAACGTGCCCAATTTTTAATCTGATTCAAAAGGTTATAGTCTGAGTTCCATTTCATTTGCCAACCTTTCTGTTGTGTCATACATATGTATCAGACAATTCTAGCCTTGAAACGATCAACGTTATTGCTTCTTGATTCTGTGCTCCATTTGAAGTAAAAGAGCATGGATTAAAACTATTCTAGCAAACACCCCCTTTGTTCAATGATTTTTCCGTCTTATTACACAAAAATTCTGTTCTTGTTCAGAAGTTAAAGACGCTGGCTTATTCTAAGATTGGATTGTGGGAACGGGAGATGAGAACAAAGGATTAGGAAGGAGATGCCTTAGTATGATGTTGTAAAGTATAGGCTGCTAATTATAATAGTGCATATTCTGAATTTCCTAATAACATTTGAGATCCCACTTAGCAAGGAAATGTGTCCAGAGGTCAGAATGATTTGATAACTTTAGGTCTCCCGTTCCAGTAAAACTTTTTATATTTTTTCTACAGTTAAAATAAGAAAAAACACTAAATGGGATCTGGAGGTCCTGATATATCTTATTATCATAGAAATGGTAGATTATATTGATCACTTGATTATGCGTAAGTAAATTAGCAAAGGATCCAGACTCAAATATTTGCTTGTAATTCAATCTATAAGACCAACATACAGATGCTCTCAGCAAGGCTCTGTACTCCATAGCTTTTGATATCAATCACCATACTTGAAGAACACAATCATTTACATCAAAACAAAAAAAGAGAGACATGTACATTAGCAATGGACTGTTTCGACGTCTAACTCAGTAATGCTGTGGTTCTCCCCCCTTCTGTGGAGAGTCTCTTTCGTCTTTCCCTCCCGTGTATAATTAATACATATAGGGGACACTTTGGGAAGGGTTTTAATATTGCTGTTCTGTGGTGAGCCGAAAGGTCTTCAGGACAAGATCCACATAAAGGCTGTAGACCATACTGTGACTGCAATGGATGCAACCAGGTAAGTCCACAGGAAGAGGACCGAACACTCATCTTGCCCCACATTGAATAGTTGGACCATGGTACCTACATTATCATTCATTCTTGTCACAATTAGTTTGATTGAGGTAAAATAAATAATATTAGTTATGATGAAAAAGCTTAGCATATATAGTAATGATATTATATGTCTGCTACTACTGTTTTACGTTAATTTATGTTGCACCCATTAAACTGTCAGATTATAGTTACTAATTCCTCACCGATACTCATTGCAGGTGGCAGTGTAAACTGAATCATTAGGATAAAGTGGTACAAGGGGTCTGATGGAAGGAAGCCGAGATTGCTGGCTGCTTTAAATATACCAATTCCAATCAGGGGAAGTATCATGTATCTCACACAAATGACTGCAACGATGATCAATGGTTTTATTTTAGCCTTGCGTAGGCCTGTTCAACACACAGCAATGATCTGTCAGAGACTAGTTTTCCCACTATATAGTTTGTATTCAATAGAGCATTAAGAGCTCTTTTTACCTACGAGGTTGCCTCCTAGTATGAGGGTGATGCAAGGTATTGTTCCATCCCTGCACATGTAAGTTATTATATGTTGTCAATTGGCCAGTAAAGAACTTTAGATGAGATGAGACATTGTTGAATTAAAAAGAAAAATATGCAAAATTTCAGAAAGTATTGTAAAGTTCCAAACTATTTTGAAATTCAGGGTTTGTTAAGGTTACAGCATATATGTGTTACAGAATGGAGAGTGTTTCAATTGAATTGTCATCTATTAGAGCATATTCAATCAGTAATTTATCATGATCTGTGAATAGTACATACCCAAGTAACTTGACAGAGTCCTGGATCACTCGCAGAGGTGCAGTGTCACCAATTATAAGGTTTCTCAACCATGGAGTTGCCCCAAAGATGAATCCCACAATCTGATCAAAGATCGAGAAGCTTATTTTGTTACTTGCTTTTGCATTTCGTAGAAATAAGAAAATTCCACTCTCATTAAGCACATAAATGAAGGTGAAATTTCGAGAGCACTCACTGAACCAAGGGTTGGAGGTTCTAATATCGCATCCAATATCTGGCGCAGAAATTCTTTTAGTTTATCCCAGAATGATGCATTTGGTTTCTCCAGCTTGCTGGTGGATACTTGGTGCACAATCTGCAAAAAAATTCAAGAAATGATTCCGAGTGTTGATTTTTGTGTGAGCCAATAATTCATTGGTCAGGTACTATAATACTCTCTTTTCTTCTGCTTAGTGACTGGACTTCCTAGGAAGTTAGAACAACGAGAACTCACAGTTCGATTTTCTGCTTCGTCTTCAGTGGATTTCGTTGATGGCATGACTATAGCAACATGCTCTTGATCTTCGCGCTCAAGAAGATGAGTGTTCTCATTAGCATCAAAATCTTTGTTAGGTAACTTGACCTCCTCAGTTGCTTTTAGTGCTTTGCATTTCAGAGCTGAACTTCGCATTACTTGGTAAGTATAAGTCCATATGTAGATTGCGCCAAGCTACAAAATATGAGAAAAACCATTATAAGAACTAGATTGAGAACAGATCACTCCAAACAACTTCTCAAATGATACAGGGAAAATAAACTTGAAATGGGAACAATATTGAATTCTTTGAGACTGTACATTGTAATCTGAGCAGATTCTACCAGTCTCACTGTGACGTCGGTCATTTTAGATAAACAAAAAGAGCAGACACTTATTTCCATTGCATCATATGTTAACTATCTTGTAGTATCATTCTTGGAACTATAGAGAACTGCATGTAAAACTCCACGGTATATGGATTTTTTTGGACTAGTTGATGTTTTTGTTGTGGTTCAGAAATGTACTTGATGTTTTTGTTGTTTTTGTTTTTGTTGATGTTAACTATCTTGTAGTATCATTCTTGGAACTATAGAGAACTGCATGTAAAACTCCACAGTATATGGATTTTTTTGGACTAGTTGATGTTATTGTTGTGGTTCAGAAACGGACTTGATGTTTTTGTTGTTTTTGTTTTTGTTGATGTTAACTATCTTGTAGTATCATTCTTGGAACTATAAAGAACTGCATGTAAAACTCCACAGTATATGGATTTTTTTGGACTAGTTGATGTTTTTGTTGTGGTTCAGTAACGGACTTGATGTTTTTGTTGTTTTTGTTTTTGTTGATGTTAACTATCTTGTAGTATCATTCTTGGAACTATAAAGAACTGCATATAAACAGTATATGGATTTTTTTTGGACTAGTTGATGTTTTTGTTGTGGTTCAGAAAGGGACTTGATCCTTGTAAGGGTCAAAATTAGTAAGGACTACCAAATTGAGTATCTTAATGCCTATGACCATTTGGGGTGTTTTGTTATAAATTTTTTGGATTAGAGCATGCAAGGCTGCCTTACCGCCATGGAGAAAGACGAGTATGAGAGTCCAATGGCAGCACAAGCGTCGTGATCATCACCGAAAGGGCTGCCATCTTCCCTACAGATTGCAGGCACAAGTATGAGGAGAATGTTTCCCAGGTTTCCTGTTTAACAAATGTTACATTGACAGACTAGTGAGAATTCGGATTTGTATTACTGAAATTGGAGAAAAAGTGTAGGAATATGCATCTCTGGGGATTACCGCTTGAACATGTAGAGATGATTAGGCCTTCCAAATACTGCTCTGGCTTCAGTAATTTCACTACTATCCATCCTAGTATTCCCCCAAAGACAAAGGTTAGGCCAATGTTAACAGGCATAAACCACCTGAAGAAATGATAAAGCAGAGAAGAGTTAGGAAAAGCAGTAGAGAGACACTTCAAAGTTGATGGTTATCTTGAAAGCAAAGGCTACTTGTATGTCCCATTTGTTTTTAGCAAGAGAGAAGAAAATGCTGTGTTTGTTGCTGCTGCCTCAAAAGCACCAATTCAACCTCAAATTTGTTGAAAACTCGACTTGATAAGTGTCAAGCATGCACTACCTTAGGGCCAGTTTGCTTTACCTTTCTCAAAATCGTTCTCAAGAACTCAAAATATAAAATTATTTTCAGAAGACTATAAAATACAGTTATATAATATTTTTATAACTGACTTTTCAAAAAATAGTAGTATTACTCTTTCAGAAAACTGAATCAATCAGAATTTTTTGATGTTCAGTTTGGGCCTGTTTGGTACGCGTTTTATTTTTGACATTTTGTTTTAACTTGAAAGTTGAAACAAAACAAGTGTTTTATTGTAGAGTGTATTGAATAGTAATCGAAAGTATGTTTGGTAACATCTATTTGTTGTAAGATTTTTGGAAATAAGAATATGAAAACATGTTTAGTAAAAAAGTATTATAAGTTTGAAAAACATAATGGTTTGTTTTAAAATGTCATTTATGAGTTTATATATATATATATATTGTTCATCGCAACATAACCAAACGTTACAGTGTCGAAACATATAAAAACACCAAATTAGTGTTTTGATTTTTGGCACTATTCACGAAGTGTTTCGACACTGTGCAAAACAAAATAATTTTTGCGAAACCTGTTTTTTTCACTGTGCACGGTTACATTACCGGACAAAAACAAAAACATCAAATCAAAACACGAACAGGCCCTTTAATTGTTGTTATGTTTCCTCTTTGTAGTTCTTTTTCTTTTGTCAAGAAACAAAAAATATCAAGTATTCACTAGGATTTTGTATCATTGTGCTTTAATAAAAGTTTAAAATAATAATAATAAATGTATTAGAGCATTCTTACTACTTTGTAAACCTTGTTTCACTAATAAAAAATAAAAATAAAAATATAAAATAAAAGTAGAACTATCAAAAGAGTGCACAGAGAAACAGCATTATGTTTTGTCTCAAATAGCCTACCATGAGATGATGTCTTGGAGAGTGACAGTCTCAGCCAAACTTGCAAACATGAGCGCGGGAGTAAACACAATGAACACAATCTGCAATCAATGCATGAACATAAAATTCTTAATTTTTTTTATTAAAAAAACAAAAATTAACTTATGCATTTTTAAAAACAAATCAAGTGCAATATTAAACACAGAATGCACAGCTTACACTATTAAGAAATGATCCCAAAAACGTATATATATATATATATATATCGAACTATATCATATATAATATATATACTTGAGCATGAAATGTATTGCATGTCTTAGTTAGTTTACCTTGTTGAGAGACTTTCTCGCATCCACTGGTAGAAGGTTGAGATAATTAGTTGCCATTAAAGCTCCTAATATGGTGATTATCAGCACTTGCAACATTGGCATAGAAGCCACCTCAAATAATGACCAGAAACCCATCCTCTCTCTCTCTAAATCTCTCTCTCTCTATATGTATATGTATCGGTGTGACCTGAAAGAATTAAAGGAGAATTCTTGGATGTAGCCTGGAAAAAGAATCAAAGAGAACTGAAGTTAGTGAAAACCAATTTGAAAAGGTGAAAGTGAGACACACAAAAAGCTTATGTGAACAGTGAATATTTATGGTATATATATATTTTATTAATTGTGAATGTAGATGCTACAAATGAAAATTACATGTCCTCCTTCGTCTGGGGAGAGGAAAGAAGTATGAAGTTACCATGAAGTTTCCACTACCCTGTTTGGATTCAGGTAGTTTTTGAATTTAGCAGTGGGAGGGACAAGATGTGACTATCAAATTCAAAAAAATTTGAAGTCAAAACAACTGAAACAAAATATGTTACCATGTGATTATTATATACATGGAATTAAGCTTCACCCCTATTTCTATAAATTATTATTTATGAAATGGTAAATGAATAAGATATTAGGGTTTTGCTGTTTTAGTTTATGAAAAGTTATTTTAGATTTTTTTTAGTACTATACGAGGGTATTTAAGTAATTATGTAATATAAACCAAGCAATTATCTATTTTGTCCCTATTTGGCACCGACACTCCGCGTAAATGAATGAGATGTTAGGATTTTGGCGTTGTAGACTTTCAATTTATGAAAGGCTATTTTAATACCTTTAATATTACACAAGGGTATTTCGGTAATTATGTGTTTATACCCATTTTACCCCTATCCCGTGAAAGGGTTCATTTCTTTACTTCATCCAACGGCAAGAATAATTTGCCTATTAGGGTTGAGTGAGCTTCCTCAATAAACTTGTACTTATGAGGACTTTTGAGGAATAATGTTTTTTTATTAAGCAAGAGGATGAGTCTTAATCCATCTTTGTACTTAATTATCTCGAGTAAGTCCGAGAAGCCGCTTATATACCACCTAACAACTCAAACTATATATTACTACTTTTTACTTTTTTTAATGTAAAAATAGTTTTTTTTTTTTTTTGTCCCATTTACATAAAAAAATAATAAATAAAAACTAAATTCATGAAAACAGAAAAAATACAAGACAAGACGTTACGTGACAACCGACCACACCACCACCAATCAATCAAAAAATAAATAAAAAAAGTAGTTCTGATGAGGAAAAGGCCAAATCAATAATGGCTACTTTGTGTGGTATAGAAAGAGAAGGAATATTTCTTGAAAATAAAGTAGTTCACTAATTATTTGATTATTGACCAGTCTCTTAATTAGTCTGATCCGAAAAGGAGTTCGGATCTTTTGGATTATGAGATCCGAAAAGGGTTTCGGATCTTTTTCATTACCTGGGTTAGACGGTTTTGATCATTCACATATGTAAAATCACAGGTGTAATTGATGTAGACCGTTAGATGCACCTGATTCAAGCTTTTCAATTAGGCGAGAAACGATTGCCTTCTAAACTTGTATCCAAATGCACCAACCCAGCTTGATCCGCTTAATTGACCCAGACTCGCATGGATCTCACCCGAAACTATCAAGGCACCCTTTAGTTTGGGATAGTCCATCGTAAGAAAAACACGTATTAAATTAAGATAAGTGTCTAGAAACAGCTCAGAGGAACCAGTAGATAAGTTCCAACATCAAATTGAATAACATAATTACTACATTCCAAAAGTTTATTTGTTCACACACAATACACATACATACGTAGATTATACATAATTTCAAGTTTATTAGTTCACACACTATAAACATACATACGCAGATTATATATATAATAAATAAATACAAGGAAAGAAAACATACAAGAAGTAGATAAAGATGGAGAAAACGCAAGAAAGGTTGAGAAAACTTAATCTGGAATTATCTACTTCTATATATATATATATATATAACAAGCGATATATATGTGGAATCACTGCCAAAAAAAAAAAAAAATTGAAAAAAACTATAACACAATTTATGAAGAGAAAGCGCGAGAATTTTAGCTCTGAATCAAGTCGAGGATCGATTCAGCAAAATATATTTGGTTTCACAAAAAAATATCGTTACACACTGCATACACACATATGAAAAAGAAAAACACACACACACACACACATTAATGGCTAAATGAAGTAAGTGATGAAGGAACCTGCAATTAAGTCTGGATTAATGACACCAGGAAATTATTTGATGCCCGCTGATGAACAAGAGTGCAAATGATCACTTGATGGGGGAGAGGAGCCACTTTGATGTGTTATATATAGCAATATATTAATATATACGGAGTATATAATAATAATATATATGTATATTTATATTTTGATAGGATATATATGATATATACGCATCGGTGGTGACTGGTGGAATGCATATTCAGTCTATATTTATAGGACAATGGGGTCAGCACCTGCATGCGTGTTTGTCCAAGTTGTCCAAGACAGAAGGAGATCGAGGAGAGACACAATCACAGCTTACCTCCCCTCTTTTGAACTTTTTATCCAGTACGTGCGGGCTTATCATACTAATACTGAACACGAATGTTAACTCCGATTTGGAAAATGATGATAAACTAGACTACGAGTATTTGATACTCCCTAAGATTGAGATCACAATTTTGATTGAAATATTTACTTAAAAAAATAAAAGAAGATATTTTACAATTTTTAAGTATTTAAAAAAAATATTATTGGACTCTAGCATAAACATGGATTTTTTTTTTTTTTTTTAACCGTTACTCTTTTGATTTTATGAAAAATTAAACTGTCATTTGCATGTAGAATGCTTAAATAATTGGGGTCTCTCTTCTAGTTTCAAAAATAAAATTGACTTGACTTATGGGTGTTGGGTGTAAAATGCTTAAATAATAAGGGTGTCTTTTCTAGTTTCAAAAATAATACAAACCTTCCTGTAATTTTGGTCAAAGTACCTAACTCTAACCTCTCTATCATAAAGTTTCAAAAATAACACTAACCTTTTTCGTTGTTCTTGATTAGAGTAACGGTACCATGCATGTCATAAATTTCATTAGTTTTGCTGGCTAATGTCATGCCTGAAAAAAATCTAAAAATTCAATTTTGCCCATAAAAATTTTGAAAAGGCATTGTTGTCCATATATTGTAATGGTAAAAATATAATGGGTATAATTGTCATTTCATTTTCTCAATAAATCAATAATGTTGGACGTATGTATTAATGTTATATTTAAAAACATAAAAGACAATCATGATATTTAAACATTGTACAGGAGAAGTAGATATAATTTACCCTTGATTTTAGTGTTGGACATGACATGAATGTAAGTTTCTGAGATCCGAATCCTATCCAGTCATATCTACCTAAAAATTAAATTGATTTGCTAAAGCATCATCTTTTCATTTTTAGGTGGCTGGTGGGTGAAGAAAGATACATTAATTTGGGGTATTTTTGACATTTTAATTTTATGATGTTCTTGGCAAAGGATTTATAATATACAACACTCTTTGACTTTCTTCAGTTGATGCATTATGATTGGCCATTTTTGGTCGTGGAGTGTGTGAGTGGCAGTACCGAATCTAAACCCCGTCCAAAGTCAGTGTGTGAGTGGCAGTACCGAATCTAAACCCCGTCCAACGTCAGTGCTTACTACTGACAACTGTGTACTGGACCATAGTCTTGCAATAGACAACTGTTTTAATGAACGTGAAACTTGTTTTTATTTATGTCCTTCCAAAAATATATATAGCTGCCCCAACTTGAATTCCATTATTGTCAATTTTTAAACAATACTTTGATTTTTTTTGGAATTTATAAATAAATGAATAGGTTTGTGTCCACTAGTCAAAGATCTTCGGCCTCAAAACAATTAAATTTTAGTTTAACATGTTTAAATCTTGATTCAATGTATTGATCTCCCAAAAACGTTATATTGCATCAGAATGAAATATTTACATTATTTAATAGTTGAGGAATGGCAATTGAGTTTTTTCATGTAATTGAGTTTGAATTTAGGGTTTTGAATTAGGCTCGAGTTTAACTCATTTATTTGATTTTAAATTCAAACTCAAGCTTAAACTCAAGTTTGGTATCAAAATCGAAATACTTGGATATGAATCTTTGATGAACTATGTGGGTAGGTATGATGTGAGTGAATGCGAGACACTAGGCGAACTACCACACTGCTAGACTACGAGTATTCAAATCTCATATCGTTTAAAAAATGTGAAGTGTTGTATATATATTCAACACCCTATATAACGTATTTTAAGACTGTAATGATCATAAATTTAACAAAAATTTGCAATTAAAATTATTAATGCTGAAGTAGAACCAAAATGAATGACATCTTCGAAAGTCCGAAGCTGCCAAAAGCTCAATAAATAAGTCATGACCAGATAGTTTTAAGTCCAAGTTCATGAACATCAATTAACTAATGAAAATGTTATTGATCTATATTGTCTTTATTGTTGTCAAAGTATCGCGGTAATTATTGATAATGATATGGAATAAGAATATATAATTGAATATTATTTGGCATCAATAAAATAAAGTTTTGGGGAAGCTGTTGCTTATAGTTTTGTGAAAATTGTAATCATTTTGACTTGTTAGACTCAAAATCTAAAAAATTGACGTTCATCTCCCTTCGTAATGTATATACAAACATGAACGTTGCTATACAAGCCGCAGCCACCGTGCCCTAATTTTTTTTATTTAGTTTTACTCTTCTTCATCGTCAAATATCTTTGATTCCCTTTTCCGAACAAACCCTAATTTTTATTTACTTCTTTATATACAGTAAACTTGAACCATTAATCTTTTACTTAAACTTGTAGACGAGATATCACTAGACTACAATTTTGATCGTCCTTTAAATTTATTATTGCAATTTTATGAAGCTAGTGTCCATATTTAATGATTTTAATATTTTTTACTTTACTTTTATTTTTCAGCTTATTGCATTTTTTCACTTGTTTTTAACTCCGACTCATCACGTTCTCGTAATAAAATGAGAGTGATACCACCGGAAATAGAATATTCCATTCACGAAGAAGATCCCTTGGACACAATTATTTGAGGCGTGGTTATTAGAGTGGGAATGAAATGCCACCTACCTACCAAAAAAATTTGGAAATTTAAGGCACCTATCAGCTTTCGTCAAAGCCAAACGCGGTATGATTCACATGTAAATATGAGCCACACGTTTTTTTTTTTTTTTTTTTTTTTTTTGGTATTATCATAACACACCTGTCAAAAATGAAAGAAGAGAGACCATTATATCATAGTATTTACTAATTAATTTGGAGAACTGAATTTGAATCTGAATTTGTTTGTCCAATTAATCGGAGAACTAAAGTTGAATCAGTATTTGTGTGTCCAAATTAATTGGAGAACTAAAGTTGAATCCGAATTTGTTTGTCCTACTAGTTGAATCCGAATTTGTTTGTCCTACCATGCCCGGGACCAAATGATTGATTTAATATAGTTGTAATTTTTGTCATTAAAAGAAAAATTCAATAATTGGGCGCATTGATTGTGACTCTCACCACTAACGGCTGAAACAAATCTGACGTGTTTTTAGTTTACAATCAGGTGTCGACATTATAATCCTAATCTTATTAAGAAGTCTATTGAATAAATACATGGACGATTTTATTGAAGGAAGACCTTCCATTAGGTGTCAGTATTTTATCATCATCTTGCTTTAATACTATATGAATGAAGAAGGATGCATGAATTCTCTTTATTTCATTCTGTTTTATTACAACTCATTTTCTCTTTAAATTCAAATTTTTAACTTTTTAAAATAATTTTTAATAATTTCATCTCATATTAATTCTGGACGCTCTCTCCTACTCCGATCGTCTATGCAAATTATATTTTATCTTCTCACTTGTGCATCTATGGGTTTTCGGTATAACCTAAGCCTATTCTTTCTAATATTATCCACTAATAGGTGTCATTAATAGGTGTCACATTACCTAATTGTCGATCTTAACATTTACATTTAAAGCCAAGCGCTCATCACCATACAAGATAGTTCGACTAATAAATATTCTATAAAATTTTTGTTTTAGTTTAAATGACATTAATTTATCACACAAACCTCCATTTTATCAACCTCTGCCAATTTTATTTCTTAAAAATATTCTTTATTTTTCTATTTTAAACTTTCAAAGTACAAATAAAAACCAGTGAACCGTTGGATCATGTAAGTCATGTGTGATCCAAGGATTGAGCTCTCACAATTGCCACTTATCACACAGTTGTCAAATGTATTATATAAAAAAAGAAGTTAGATTTAGGAGGAAATGGTAATTTGAGACATTGCTTTTAAATAGAAGTCTGGTCCATTGGCTTATTTGGTGCTTTTCACACAACCAACATTGGCCAAACAGTACGTAAGAGCAAAGTTGAATGGGTGTGGGTCCTACATGTTTGGGGGTACCAATTAAAGTGGGAAAATGCAGGTAAGGTGGGTCAAGAAACCAATAATCATTTGGTTGCCATAGCAATGATGAAGTACCAAACAAAAACACCATTATGTTGAATTAAAACAATTTCAGACTTTTATTCAGAAGATTGAAGAGAGATATATATATACCAAATTACAATTTGAATTTTTCTATGGTCAGCATTAAAATCAAACTATAGACTATCCTCCGCTCTTACATTTATATATATATATATATATATATATATATATATATATAATCAAAATTAAGAAAAAATAGATTATGTTGTGACACTTGAACTACTCCATCCCATTAATATAATATTATTATCTCAAACTATTTTATAATTCTTTTTTTTTTTTTCTTCCAATCAGATTGGAAATATATATATATATATATATACTTACACCCATTTACTTCTGAAAAGTAGAGAAGATAACACCACTACATTAGAAGGTATAAGCATGCTCTACTAATGAAACGAAAACGAAAGAAAATAGTTGTGAATTAATATACTTTTCAGAGGCAAATGGGTGTATAAAGTTCAATAAAAAAGAAGGATAATTGAGTGAGCCTATTCCTTTCCTAGAGAAACTCCAATGTTACGCAATAATTTTTATCCAAAACCTTATTAGAGTAGACACTTAATTAATGATTGCATTTCATCAACATTATTACCTAGAACCAAACCATTTTTTGTATCTAGAACTATTTTGCATTTCTCTTTTCTTCTCCAGAGATTTGAATAAATTACACATAAGTAGACCATTCAACATTTATTATAACAACCTCCCTTAAACCCGTTCACGGTTAGAAGGCGACTTAAAGTGTGAAAAATTAGTAACACTTTGATTCCCATACAAAAAAAATGACAATTTTCATTTAAAGAAAGGGCAAAAGTATCATTTTATAAAATTTAATCAACGGGTATATTAAAAAAAAAAAAGAAGTGTAATTAAGTACACTGATCAAATCACAAAAGAATTCAAAATAAGAGATGGTGAACAGTCTATCGTCCAAAGAAGATCGATCTAATTTACTCTTATAATATTACTAGCTCGACCCTATTTTCATTTGCTCTTTTATACCCTTTTCCTTGAAATGAGGAAAAAGAAAAAGGGCCAAAAGGTCCTCATTTTCTCACCACTCAAGAGGGAGAATGAGTGGGGGGTGGAGACCATTGGTCCCACCTATCTTCACTCTTCCTTCAATTATTATAATGCCTTTTCCTACCCTAAATCAATTAATAAAAAATAGTGTAAAAAAAAAAAAAAAAAAAAAAAAGCCAAAAGGTCACTTAAAGCTAGTATTTTAAAAGACTCATACATACTTTAACTAATAACTTATTAATAGTGCATTATTTGCCGCCTTTTGATGACATGTCAGATTCTATCGGCTACATATTTGCCTCGTCACAATCTTTATCGAAAAGATGAGTACCACTTGTTTTATTACTAAATTAACATAATGTCTTGTATTACTTACTCCATTATTATTATTATGTTTTATTGTTATTGTTGTTATACATTTAATCAAGCTTAAGTTGATCCAATTTGACTAATTCAAAGGTGAGAAAGTTCTTAGATCCACGGTTACATATAACCACATGTTAATGTAGCAGGCATGTCATTGTCGCATAACTTTGTCTATGACAATATCTTATGCCTAATATATTTATAAAACACTTCAAAAAAATATTTCAACCATAATTTGTGAAATGTGAGTGTGGGTATTTAGCTAATTAAAAATAATAATTATTATCTTGATACAATAGAGAATCCATCCAGATGGATATTTCAAAAAGTAAATAGAAAATGCATAGCGACAATAATCCATAGGAGATGGAGATGCCACTCCATTACCGAGTAAGAGAAACACATGCATAATACATATATATATATATATATATATATATATATATACAGACACATATCCTTGAATTATTTTATACTTTATTAATTTATTTCAATCTCTTATTAAGAAACAATAGTATCTTCTTGATTACAACTAGATACCCACAGAAAGATATGTGTTTGTATATGTATATCCTTAAATTATCTTCTAATTTTCTCCGATGTCTGGTTAATAACAAAGCTGATCTCCGCGTGATTGGTCCCAACCCTTTGAAATCAAAAATTTTAAATAGCTTTTAACATCGTGTCCACAAAGTCGGCCACCCGACCCGATCCACGTTTGTATAACTTAACAGAATATTTTAGATGTTATATTTTTGGTATTACCCAACCCACGTTACTATAACTTAACAGTGTTTTAGATATTATGTTTTTAATTAATACCAAAATAATCGTTATTTGGTAATATAAATTTATTTTAAGAAATTCAGAAACTTGTTTTAGTTCCTCCGCTATAACCTAGTACCAAAACAAACAATATTAGTAATATGAATTTTAACCAAAAAAAAAAAAAAAAAATTTGATATGTTATGAACTATTCTAAATAAATACCAATCGTCTTAAACATTATTTAAGCCCAAATTTAAATATTAATATCAAAAAAAAATAATATCATAACACTTTCCAACCAAACAGGTCCGATTTTACCCTTTTTGTACACATGCTGTGTGTAGGGCTGTTAAATTCAAATGTCAAACCGCTCAGTCAAAAAACAACCCTCACAGAGTGAATCCAGGCCATTGATATTCATATTAGCATTCCAAGGTGAAAGGACAACAATTAAACTGATTGGGTCCGTATGATTGAGCAAATCAACAGGAAAGATATTTTATCAGTGTCTCAAAAAGAGGAAGGTTATGCTTGATTGAGCATCCACACGTCATCTAAAATCAATGTTTTCATGGTGGAGCCAAACATGCACCGTAAAGAAAGACCATGAGCACAAGGGTACAAATCATGAACAAAGTCATAATCAACCTGGCCCCCAAAATGATGGGTCCAATCCAACCTGTCAGTTACCCACCACCACTACAAGTGCACATGAAAATGAAAATGAAGAAATTTCACAGATGGCCTGCCACAGAACCACTTTCCAGTTCTCAATTGACATGCGGGCAAAAAAGTGAAATAAAGCTGAAACAAACTTGTCAATCAGTGATTCGACAATCCCGGACCATGTAATAATTTCTCAGCATGAGATTACCCTTCTTGCATGTGTCACTCCCAACCAGCCCACTATCTGATATAAACATCTAAAGAACAGAGACACAACCTATCTTCAAATAGGTATGAGCAAGCAACCATTTTCAATCAGCACAATAGAATTGTCTACAAATGCAAAAACCATATCACAATAGCTCACGACGTAGAATTACAATAACCGAAGCTGATTGTTTGTGCGAATACTATTTATGTATGTTTGAACAAAGAGGCTTCACATAACTGTGGAATTCCCGAAACACAGAACAATTTCTTAATATGTTTGATCAAGACAGGCAGGCCATCAACCCGAAGCCATCAGCAGATATAGAAAGAAAGGACTGAAAGAATTTCTTAACATGATTGAATATGACAAGTGATGGTAATACAGTTTCAACAAACATATTTTATATAGAAGCTTCAAGTTCATCTGGGTGTACTGCAGCTCCATTTGGGGCATCATCTGCACGAAGCTGAGCAGAAACATCATCTATGGCAGAGTTCAGCTGTGCAATCTTATCAGTCAGTATTTTGCGGGTCTTCTGTTCTCGTCAAATCATGGAGGGAAGAAAATCAGTGAGATAACAAATAAAAATGAAGGGACAAGATCCCTTCCAAAATATAAATTAAGAATTAAAAAATTGGTCAAAACAATGCAACTTTTTGAACAGGGTGTTATTGCAAATTGCAACAATAACAAACTTTCAAACACAATAGTTTCCATACACACATAAAAAGTGGATCAACCTTGACAAATTCTCCACATGATGTGGATACTGAATATTAAGGAATATAGATCCCTAGCCTCCTTGCAATAGTCCCTTAAATGCCTCACCATTATACTGGCATCGGTTCCATAACACAAACGGTTGACTCAGAACCCTGCAGGTACTAGGTCCTTGCGTTGCATTTAGCTCTTAAGTGATCAGATTGGTTGCATTCCCCAGCCACTCAAAATCCAATTAATTTTAAACATACTTTGAATGGTGACAATACTTCATAAGATGATTCATACAGGAGGCTTTTTTATCTTCGGGCTGAAAATATTCAAATGTAAGAGGACCCACCATGCAGTGGGTCCTGATTATTTCGTGATGCTAAAACCATTTTGTAGAATGGGAAAGCATGAAGGTGAAGGTGAAGGTGAAGGTTCACGAAAACCATTTTATTTATTGTTTATTGATTTTTTTGTCCTTGTGGTTGTGTGTACAATGCATACCAAGTTACCAACCAAAATGATGGGAACTTTGGGCATCCAAAGAAACAAGTTCATAAAACCAGTGCAGCGTAGACGAGAATATTGAGATAAAGTTGTGAGATATGGAAGGAAAAAATCAAATATCATCGATAGAAAAGGTAAAAATAGCATCAATTAGAAAAAAGATGAGAAAGTTTTGGTTGAGATGTCATGTGCAATTATGACTATTTGCGTTGTTGGTGATGATTGATATGGTGGTGGTTGAAGGCATTGAAGGACGAGCAAAGACCAATAATTTTTTGTAGTTACATGTCGGCAGATGATGCGCACATCGCTTTCGATAAAGCAGAATAGAACATCAGAGAATGTGTAGCCCAAAACAAACCAAGTCTCAATGAGGATTGTTAACTTGAGACAAGCATGTGAAATACAATGCTACGATATAAATGTCAATAACAATTTTTTCTTTTTATGTACAATCTTGAATGAACAATTAGTAACACATTTAGTCTCTTTCAATATCTATAGATCTATTATTTATTTATTTGCATTTTCATAAAATTCTCATCATTCTACAAATTTATATCAACAAAAACTAATTTATGATAGACGATTCACTCTATTAACGTATGTCAATCCACGTTCCTGAAAAAAAACTAATATATACTAATTAGTTTTTATACAGTTTTAATAATTAATCACATAATTACTTCCTTAATTAGTTTTTGTACATTTTTAATAACTAATCACATAATTACTTCCTTTTAATATCTATTGGTCTAACGTACCCATCCACATTCCTACTCTCTTTGGGAAAGCAAAATTTATACGCTAATTAGTATATGTACATTTCTTAATGGATAACTAATTAACATATTAAGTTTCTTTTAATATATATTGATCTAATACTAATATATTTGCATTTTCATAAACGTCTTATACTAATGTATGCCCATTCACATTCCTATTCTATTTGGAAACCTAATTAATATATTATTATACTAATATTCATACTACATCCTATCCTTAACGCAGCTGAAGCAACAGAGATCAACAAATGCTTTTGACCATATGTTATGGATATTTATATGTTGCTTATGTTGTTTTTATATCATGTTTTGCCGTACAACAATAATTTTATTTTAGTTTTAAAATGGGCAGAAAATAAGGATATAAGATTATCAAGTTCTCACCTCCAAAGCTTTCTCTTCATCATATATAAATTTTGGCAGCTTTCTCATCAAATCTTTTCTGTCAGCTCCAGCCAATGTCTTGCTGATCTGCAAGATAATATGCTATCAGTAGACTATATATTCCCTATTATTTTATTCCTGCACATGTGGGAAATTTTAGAAAACACGATATAGATTTACGATTGAAATAGCACATTATAACCATATATGAAAGCGCGATCTTCTATGAAGAGTTGTCTAATAATTCTAGTCACATCACTCACTTAAAAGCCGGTTAACAAGTATTTATTGTTTAGCTACTAGGAATAGGAGGGTTTCTAGTAGTTGCTAACTCCCACATCCAGAAACCAGCAGATGCATCAGAATTACTTTATCCAGAACAGAATTTTCACTTTCCCTGGCCCCTAGACAAACGTTGCCCCATTGCCTCGAATATCAGCAAGGCAGCATTGATGATGGAAAGTGAATTAACAATTGAGAGAGAATAGCAAGGGAAGAGCGAATAATGAGTCTCGTCACAGAAAATTTAAGGCAAATGAATCTCACGGCAACTAATTGATCTAATAATCCATCCAATAACCCATATCTACCCACCATGGACTCAAAGGAACTAATCTAACTCTAGTGGATGTATAAAATAGGTTCTCATGTCAAACCTGGGGCGCAAATACGCAGCCTAAAGTTCCAACAACAATTCCTCCCAGTACAAAGCCACCAACAAAGATACTTGCACTACTTGATCTTCCATCATCCCCGCTGCATTTGCACAAATAGTAGGTAGTTATCATAGAGAGCGTGATACACTTGAGAGCAGAAAAAGGAAATGTTATATATCACAGTATGTATCATGAGAAGATTGGAAACAAAATTTTGACCACGGCATCAGAAACGCCTGTCTGGAAAGTACGCTAGTCAAAGGGCCCAGAATCACATGACAATAAAAAAATAAAATGAAATATTTGAGAGAGAGAGAGTCCTTGTGGATAAAAATAATCAATTTTGGTTTAGAGATATTTGAAAAAAATGTTTAAGTCAATTGAGATCAGAATTTGCAAGCTGATGTAGAGAACTTTAAATTTTAGTAAGCCTAGCATCTTTGGACTGAACAAATTTTTGCACTTTAAAATTAGTTTTAATACATTTCATAGAAGTCAAAAAGAAAAAAAAAAAAGAAAAAATCATGTCAAGAAATATAATCATACCCTGCTCGCACAGTAAGTGGCCTTCTGCAATTTAGAAGTTCTGTTTTTCCCCGGGAAGCGGGCATGAACAACTTACTGGAGCCAAGACTTTGGTCCACTTGCATCAAAGAAGAACCTAACATCATATATTTGCTAACAGTCAGAAAAATACGAACCCAATAACAAGAGTATTCTTATAAAATTGTGGAACATGCATGAGCATGCCATATATGGCTATAATGCGGGATATTATGTTTGATACATATTCATAGAAATTCAAATGCATATACAAGCAATTAAGACCTCTATGCATAATAAAGCAGCATGAAAATCCAAGAATTAGGCATTTTTCAACCTTGTAACATAAAAACACCACAAATGTTGATTTCACCATTCAGCCCAGATAGGTTATACTAAGTAACGTACTGAAAGAAGAAAACATGCAAGTGAAGCAGGAGAACATTGGATTAAAATTAGAGCAAACTGCAAAAATAAAAATAAAAAAATAAAAAAAAATAAAAAAACACATTAGCTTTGCCAACATGCCCCCTGAGCCAGAAACACCCCATTCCCCCCCTCACTGAGAATGGAGATTTATACTCTAGTTTTTTTATAGTTGCATGTATATAAGCCTTGTTTAATTAGGATTACTTTAATCCAAGTACTTGGTAAAATAATTACCACATGGGGTAAAGTTAATTAAGAGCAAAATTGAAATGCCAAATGATACTCACCTTGTCGTGGTAATCACTCAGTCCTATGTCTATGGAGCCCTTTCCACCAAGTGACAACTGTCATTTTTCCCCATTGCCCTCCACACAAGTTGCCCAGAGTTGGCTCTACACCAAATGACAACCAATAGACTAGAAGCATGATTCTACCGACTGTTAGTTTGAGAGATATTTCCTGTCATCCTTAAGGAGGGGGTGCAGGGTTCAACTCCCGTTGAGATATGAGTATGTGTTTTGGTTTGGGAAAAGAAGACAGCACAAGGATTCTCAATTGTGTCAAAACAACGCCCACTAAATACTTAAATGCTATGTTCGGTTGCATAGAATTGGTGCTTTTGAATTGGAATTGGGAAATATATATATAGTTGAGAGTTTAAACTAAATTTTCTACAATTCCAATTCCATGCTACCGAATATAGTGAAAGAGAAAAACATTTAAAATCTACTACACCTAAAAATAACCAACATCAAGGAGTGCAAAGGCATACGGAATGTGGGCAAGTTTTTTTTTTTTTTTTTGATAAGTGAATGTGGGCAACTTAAAAACATCATGTTCACCAACTGAGAGTTGCCGAAATGTGATTTTTGAGATGGATGAATGATAAGGTAAGAATGGATTAAATTATAATGAATACATTCGTGAGACAATAACAGAAGACTAATTGCACAAGTGAGGAAGAGTGGCATGTTCCATAAATGGTGAGTTAAGGGAGACAAGAACACCAAAATTACTAAGGGTCTGAAATAGTACAGTATGATATGCAGCATATAATTTAGCTGAAAGTTTAAAATGCCAAATAGTTGGGACAAAGCTTTATTGAGTTGAGTTGAATATGCAGTACATAGACAGATAATTGAAGCTTCAGGAACTTACTCCCAGAATGCAATCACAAGTACATTTAAAGGGTCTTTGGATGTCAATTAGCATTGAACAGCTGCACAAAGAACTATAAATCTTCCAAGTATATTCATTAATGTAATTTAGTCCATCTAAGAGAGTAGCAACCATCAAACAAATGGTTATTAAAATCAAGATATCTTCAATCCGGAAAAATAAATAGTCAATTAATCCCATATCAATGAAATACCGTAGTGGCTACTAAATTCAGTAGCTCTATTCACAGTCAGTAATTCATACCTTCAAATTTTAAAACAAATAGTGATTTTAGATTAAATTATTATCGCGATTCGGGCCACTTAAGAAAGTAGCAACCATCGAACAAATGGTGATGGAAATCAAGAGAATTTCAACTTCAAATTAATAATAACAGTAATAATCGAAATCAATCCCAAATCAATAAGTTACTGTATTTGCTACAAAATTCAGCAGTTCTGTTCATAGTCATTACTAGTTCTTACCTTCAAATGTTACCAAAAAAACACACACACACACACAATTGACAAAATCAAATTTCAATGGTCACCCAAAAATAACCTTATTAAAAATCGTAACTAGCTAAAATAGACATAAATTCAGTAACATGATGGAATGAAATACACGAAATACACACAAACAAATCTATTTATATAGATATAAGCATGCATAAAACTGGATTCGTCATTTATCTCCCAAAGAGATAAAAATAAAAAATAAAAAATAAAAAATGAAAGCATCATATAAAGCATAAATAAAAGAACTGATCAAAACAATCGATTATGATGTTGATGATAAATGAATTTGACAAATTAATTACACAAGAAATTACCGGATAAGAACTGGGATTGAGGGTTTCTTGCTGAAACAAACGAATTCTGAAGAGCAGCCATTCTTCAAAATTGTGTGTGTGTATGTGTGTGTGTGTGTGAGAGAGAGTGTGAGAGAGAGAGAGAGAGAGAGAGAGTGGAGACTGTTGCTGTGATGGTCGATAATATCGAACTGTATATATATCTCGTCGATGCTTTTTAGGCAACAAACCCCAGAAAAAAATCGACAGATGATAGCATCTTCAGACAACAGTAGTTGGGCCGATGTGCTAGGCCCGTTTATCGGCTCAATTTGTATAGGGAAATATCTCGGCCCATTTAAGAGCCCATAGGCCTATGTGCTAGCCCAGTTTATCGGCCCAATTTGTATATGGGCAATATCTTGGCCCATTTAGGAGCCCGTGACAAATCTAATGTAAATTTATATATTCAATTTATTGATTACTGTTCTTCTATTTCTTTTTATTTTTTTGTATATGCTTTAAATATATCTCTTTGACGGTGAGGATTTGAGCCTCATAATATGCATTTGTGGGTGTATATGAGTATTTATCTAATTTAAAAGTAGTATATATATATATATATATATATATATATATATCAATTCTTCTAACATATATCAAACATATTATAACTACATGTGACAATTGCATGATTTATACTTATTAGTTACTAAATTATTTTATAAAAAGGTTTTATAGAATTAATTGAAAGGAGTTGAAGTGCAACAAGTTCTTTATTATTATTATTTTTTTCTTGAAAAAATAAGAGTATTTTATTCATTCAAAAAAACCAGAATAATATGTTTGGAAGTATTGAAATTTTAAAATATTTAGTTCAAAGTTGAGTTTTCAGGTAAAAGCCAGCCACTTGTTGGGCCATAAGCCCAACTTGACCTGTGGTTGGCACCATGAATATTTTTTTAAGCCCACATAGGGATTATTCCCAAGCCCGGATTGAAGACCAAAAGGTGTGAGTTGTAAGTTTACACCAATTTCACGATCAAAGTCGGCACATCCAACTAATTTAGAGCATCAGGGGTGGGGGAGCAAAAGTGGAGTATAGATAAACTGAAATATATAGGTATACAATGAGTGGATGGTTTGGGTCAACTTTGAAGTCTATCCTAATTAATGTTGATCCATAAGTGGTTGGAAAGCTCTTTGAACCTACTTTCTAAATAAATACAACCTAATTTGGCCTTCTTAGAGGGACTTACAGTCAATTTACTCTGAGATTTTTTCGCTGGCTGAATGTTCTGCATTTCGAAAAAAGTTATAAAATCAAGTACAAAAGTTTCACCTTATCGTACTTAATCAATGATCTATATCACTTTTAAGGTTATAAATTCATAACACTTTTTAGCATCAAAGTTGAATTCTAATTGACAAATTAATTAGAAAAATATTTTATCAATGAATTTTAACATTATTAGCATAAGTAACTTTATTATATAAAATAATAATAATAATTCGCCTAGTGGGTGAGAATTCCTTTATGAAGTATCATATCTCAGGTTCGAGCATCTGGGTAAATAATTTCTGTGGAGATATGTACACGTTGTGTACAGGCTGAGCCCTAATTAGTAAACAATTTCCATGGAGATGCGTACATGATGGATGTGTACATGTTAAGTTGTAGTCAAGCTAAGCATCGATCTTGCCTGGTGCCTGTAGATAAAAAAAAAAAAAAAAAAATTATTAAAAATTTGCAATTCATTTCTAACACTCTTTGTCATACTTAAGAGATATTTAAATATTCATGGATATGCTTTGATTCAAAATTTTGTGAGAGAAAATAATAATAATAAAATAAAATAAAAATAAAAAATAAAATCATTTTTAAGAAGATTTATTTTTTCAATAGAGTTCAAAAATGGTTTGCTATTGTCATTTTAATTTGTCTCTTTGTCCCATATGCTAATTTTTATTTTTTTCCATTCTATTTTAATTACAATTCATTTTTCATATTATATTTAATTTTTCAAAAATGTGTTATAATCACTACATTCACTACATTACATGTTAATTTTGACGAAATTTTTTACTTTTGCAAGTTTTCATTATGATCTTTTATGAATATTTTAAATTTTTAGCGGCGCACTTCTAAAATTATCAAAATGTGATGGTGCATGTATATTCTCTCTATGGAAAACAAGGAAAAGTAACATTTTAGTAGTAGCTATTAGGAAATGCAATTTGGTGGAAAATTTGTTAAAAGGGAGAAAGAATGAGCAGTGTTATACATTTTGAATTAAAATTTGAGATTTGATTTTGAATCTGATATGGTAATAACTAAAAACACATTAATATATTCTATTTTTGTGACGATTTTTGTGAGCGATCGAGCACTATCAGGCTATAAGGTGTCATGATTTCACATCGTCTAGGAAAGGTGAAGTGCTATATGTAAGGTTCAACACCCTTCTATAACACAATGCGTTTTAAAACTGTGATTGTCATGAACCTACCACAACTCCGGAGTTAAGTATGTTTAACAACAATATTATGTCTGAATAGGGTATGGATTGTTACAAATGGTATTAGAGCCGGAACCCAGTCTAAAGTGTGGCCAATGAGGACGTTGGGCCCCATGGGGGTAATCATGATGACCTCTGTGGGCGGGTGTGGTATGGGCGAGTATTGTTCGCGCTTTAAAATGCCATGGGGGGGTAATTGTGACGACCTTTGTGGGTATGTGTAATATGGGTAAGCACTGACAAGTTATAGAGTGTCATGATCCTACATTAGTGTTGGGGAAGGTGAAGTGTTATATGTAACGTTCAACACCCTTTTATAACACAACAAGTTTTAAAGTCATGATGGCCGAGAACTCTGGAGTTAAGCGTGTTTAACCTAGAGTAATACCAGAGTTAAAACATATTTAACCTAGAGTAGTACCAGGATGGGTGATCAATGAGAAGTATCTAGTTCAGGAAACAAAAGTGAACAATATTATCTCTAGATATGACGAGGATTGTTACAATTTTAATACATATTACACTTTATTCTTTTATGTATTTGTGTTTCCTATTTTAGCAAATTAAAAAAAAAAAAAATTGTTAAAGGAAAGAAAAAGAAAGAACAACAATTACACTAGGTTTTTCGATATAATTATAAAAACCTTTAACTAAATAATGTAAATTAGTCTTATTAATGAGAAATGAGTCATTCATGGTAAACGAAATTGTAACTTCTAGTTTTAGTTATTTGACGATTTAATAGAAGGGAGTTCTTATTCATGAGAAAATTGTAGTTTCTAGTTTTAATTATTTAATAATTTAATAGAAAAAGTCCCCCAAATGAATTAAAGTTATAAGAGGGCTTGGTTTCCATAAATCATAAGTTTTGCTATTTTTCTCTCTTTAAAAAAATTATTTTTAAAATACACAAAAGCAGCCAAATAAGTTAATTTAAGATAAAATCACAAATTAAAATTCGTGAAGTATGGTATTTTCGAATAAAGAATCCATTTATTATATATATATATATATTTAATTATCAAAGATTAAATTTATTTATCAAAAAATATATATATAATTATCTTTGCGCAATAACTCATGTTAACCAAAGATTAAATTGATGCAGTGTAAAATTTATTGTCGGAAAGTAATATGTGTATATATATATATTTTCGGTATATATATAATTATCTTTGCGCAATAATTATATATATATTTTTGATAAATAAAGATAATTATATATTATTGTACTATATAATTATCTTTCACTATATAGGCGCCCCCACAAGGTTCGGTAATTAAATTACGTACAATGAGCAATTGGAGAAGAGAATATGATGTGGATCCATATTAATTTTAGGCTGTTGCGGACCACACAATGTTTATTGACAAGTGGAGTTTTTTGGAGGTTTATTTTGAAAATGATGGTCAATATGGACATGGAAATCTGTCTATTTGACGCCTAACGGGTCAAACGGTGCATGAAAACTTCAACAATTAATTCTATATCACTGTTAATAATAATAAAATTTAAAGAATTTTCTTTATCATATTAAAGTTTTTTGAAAAATTAAAAATATTAAAAATATATATTACATAGAATTTAAAAAAATAAAAATTTTACCCAATTCTGGATCCTTCTTACAAAGTAATAACAATGATGTTTAATTTAGGTATGAAAAGTATTATACATTCTTCAAAGGGCGAAAGGCAAAGAAAAAAAAAAAAAAACATCTTTGACTATCAATCACTTGCAAAAAAAATTCGCCTTATAAATATTTTTAGCAAGAAACTCTCCTCGACTATATTGAGGGGGGCATTTTGAGTGATTTTGAAATCAGAAACTCCTATTTTCCATAATAGGCTAAAAAGTATATTACTCTCCAGGTAAAAGTGTGCCGATGTAGATGTTTTTGTTCTAAAATTGTTTAAAACACAAGGCAGAAATTGGTCAGTGACTAGGGATGGCAACGGGGCGGGTTTGGAGCGGGTTTCCCTAAATCCCGCCCCGCCCCTTTTAATTTTTGTCAAGTCCATGCCCGCCCCAAGACCCGCGACGGGTTGAATTTTCATATCCAACCCCGCCCCGTTAGGAAATACTGTACCCCCGTGCCCGCCCCACTAACAAATTTTTTTCTCCCACTTTTTGGAACTTAAACTCCTGCTATTTAAATGTACAAAGCCTAGGAATGACACAACATAAATAAAATTATGTATTCTAACAAAAATAAAAAAAATAACATGCACATAACATAATTCAAAGAACATAATAAATAAAAATAAAAGTTTAATACAACCAAATTACAAGAAGGTCTAAGCTCTAACTTCCACCATAACCAAAACAAAAACAAATTTAATACCAAGTTTACATCCCAAATTAGGATTGTAAGAGATGGGTTGGGTAAGCCGCTAAAATAACTTATTAATATATATATATATATTAAATATAGTTATATGTGGGGCGGGACGGGGCCCCTAGGATATGTATATTGAATCCTTACCCGCCCCGTGACCCTCGACGGGTACAAAATTTGTATCCATGTCCGCCCCAACGGTATAATAAATGTTCCCATATCCGTTATTAACGGGGCGGAACAGGACGGGGCCCCGACGGGGCGGTAAAAATTGACATCCCTATCAGTGACACTAAGGAACAGGAGCACAGAGGCGGTAGTGATGTAGCCAACGGCTGTGATTTGGGGTGGAGGTTGCGGTGGAGAGAGAGAGAGGGGGGGTGGGCTGTGTCATGGTGATGGTGGTGGCTGTGTATATGTATATGTGTATATATATACATACATATAATAGAAATAAATAGTTAATTATATTTCTATTTTGGAGGTGAGTTTTAGTGGCGATGGTGGGATGGAGGAAATTGAGAGGCTAAAAAAAAAAAAAAAAACTGTTGAAGAGGGCATTTTCATCCAAAAAATTAGATAGAGATGAATGTCCGTTAAAATGCCCCCCTTCAATATAGTTGAGGGGAATTTCTTACTAAAAATATTCATAGATGAAGTTTTTTGCAAGTAAGTGATAGTCAGGAGGGATTTTTTGCAATTCGTCTTTCTTCAAAAGAAGAATAATGAATAATAGGGAGTAGTTTGACTCGCCGGACAAATTTAATTAATTTTATATGAGTAAAAATTGATAACAGATTACGTAACTAACCTTAATGATATCAAGATGATACTGTAAATATAAATTAAATTATTCACATTCTCACTCCTAAATAAAAATAAGATGCAAGTGAATCTTAAAATGAAAAAATAAATAAAAGTCACTATTTAGAAATAAGATGTAAGTGGATTTGACTTAATCATAAGAAAATAGGAACAAAATGGCAACACCAAAGTTGTATGCATGGCTGCTCATTCCTGAGTGGAGGTGGCGTCCACACTTTGAGCCCCCCATATTTAAAGCCATCCATCCGCACCAGAACCAATAGCTGGGTACTCCCATTTAATTCAAAGAATTGTTCGCAGCAATGGTCATAGTTACGATATTTATTTTGGTCACGATATAACGAATTTGGACAACGTCAGTATAAATTGATCGATACGAATCACATATCGAATTTAAAAAATGGTCGCGTATCGAATGACATGACGAACCATAATTCAAAGTATTACACTTTCACAATTACAATTAATATAGTGAAATCCCAAAAAGAATTAAATCACCTTTCAATTTATGACCTCGCTTTTGAGCGTAAGATATTTTTAAAATATATTTTTTATATTTTTTAATATTTAGTTGTCGTGCAAATGTCTCGATAATTCAGTGAATTAGTACATTCGCTGAACAAAAAATATTTTTTGTATTTTTTAATATTTAGTTGTCATGCAAATGTCTTGATAATCCAATGAATTAGTACCTTTGGTGAATTTTGGAGTATCAAGTTTCAACTCTCTGCATCTACTAATTTTACTTCTAACATTTTTTGTCTAGAAAATAAAAATTTAGTTGTCATAAAATATTGACAAAAAAAAAAAATAAAACCTAATAAAAATAACTTATTTATTAATTTTCAACTAGTTATTTTAAATGCCTCACTTGATGAACTTAAATTCAATCTCGACCTAAATCTTTGCAAAACACCAAAAAATAAAAATATTTACCTGAAATATATATATATATATATATATACACACACACACACACATACACTCTTATGGTTTTTTTTTTTTTTTTTTTTTTTTAAGAGATCCATTTATTATCATGAGTTGTCATTTTCTTTCCAACACACTCATACTTTTTTTTTTTCGGAAATTAAATCTTCTCATACTTTTCAACGTGTGTCAGTGTGTGTGTGTGTGTATATATTAATTAACGTTCTCCCTAGACATATATATATATCCAAACTTTATTCTAGTGACATTTTTTTTTTTTTTTTGTTACTTTTTAAGTAATTTAAATTGAGAATAAAATAATAATTAAATGTTATGTTTTTTTTTTTTTTGGGTTTAATTTTTTATTTTTATAAATGTGACTAATAAGAACCCCAACGACACATCAGTGAATATTTCTAATTTTCCCAAAGTCTAAGCGGTCTCATGTTTGAAATGAAGAATAAAAAGTAAACAATAATAAATAAATAAAAGAAATAGAAAAGAAAAATAAACTGAAACTGAAATGAATATAGAACTGTGAAAGTGTGAAGTGAGTTAAGCACCAGCATCCATGTGGGTATTGTTTAAAGTGGTCCATAAATATTGGACCACTCTTATGCGCCAATTTTATGCTCCCACCATTTTCAATGTGTGTCAGTGTGTGTATATATATATATATTAATTAGTAGTTCCCATCATTCGATTGCATTCATTTCCTACAGTCTTCTTCATAAAAATTAAAAATTGAGTTCAGAAAACATTTAAAAAAAAACTATAAATAGAAAGGAAAAACAAAACAAAACCATGAGTAAGAAGAAAACAGAGTTTTGAATGTCATAAAAAGATTTGCAAGCAAGTCAAATAATTCTACCTCTTTTGTTTTTTAAATTCTTTTTCTTTCAACTTCACAATTAGCAATATACATCAAGCAATGATATAAGAAAAATCCATTAATTTTTATTAATAAAAGAAAAGAATATAACTTTTCTCTAAAAATCCCAATCTGACTAATTGTAATTAGATTATTTTTCTTGTTAATTTTGAACTATTAGTGTGTGATAAGTGAAATACTAAAAAAAAAAAAAAAAATCCAGGGAGATTATTATTTTTTAAATCATTCCACTTTCTGTACTTTTCTCTCTCTCTATTCTCCTTTTAGTTCTAGTTTATTCCTGAATAAACAAGGGAAGAGAATAGACTTAATATATATTAATATATATATATTTTAAACTTAAAGGGGGAGAGTATTAAGTGGTTTGATTCCAATCAAAACTATGGTTACATAACTATTTTAAAGGGTTAAATTTATGTGAGTATGGTATGAAGTTATGTTGTACTCACCTAAATCAATCAAGTATATTCGAAAATTGAACTATTTATTATTATTTTATTAAAAATAATTTTTTTTTTAAATTTAGTATAATAAATAAAATGACATCAAATAAAAAAAAAATTTGAAGAGACAAAACTCACGTGGCCAACCCTATTAAAATAAAATCATACAAGAAACTAAATAAAAACAATGAATAGACAGGAGTGGTCAGGAGCTATAATTAAAAATTGGATACAAAAACCCTAAAGAGAGAGAAACAGTAAAGGCCATCAACTTATAACTACGTAGTGGACAGAAGACTCTTGAAAATGTCCTTTTAAGAGCTGGGTCACAACCATCGACAAATGAGACCTCAACTTGTCATACAAGCATTTATTGTTAACCTAATCAGACTATTTCCATCCATCATACACTTTCTCTAACCGTTTTTTTAAATTATAGTTTAATGGTACTTTTTATTTTTTAAAATAGAATGTTGAGATTTACGAAAACAATTTGAGTGCCTGAACTTCTTGTCCGAATAAAATATAGAAAAATGAAATTGTGATCAATAAACTTTTATATATATATATATATATGGGTAAGCATGTAATTCTATACCCATTGACCACTTTATTTATTTATTTATTTTTTTATTTTCACAATAACTATTTTATTTATATAGGAATTTTCAATATTCTTTTCTTCAGTTTCCCATTCCAAACACCGCGTATATTGAATTTTTTTATTTTTTTAAATTCCAAAAAAAACACCGCGAAATAAATGGTCAAAATCAATATAATAAATTATTGAGTTTGACGAGTAATAATATACGTTCGGACCCTGATTGGGTCTTAGCATGTTCGTGGCAAAGTTACAAATATGCCCTTCATTAAAGGCATGATTGAATCTTTCTTATCCGCTAATTCTTCGACTTCAAGTATCTTTCCCACCCAACGGCCTCATACCTCTGTTTCAAGTCTATACTTTGGAAGGCAATCAACTACTACTAAGCTCCTTAACTGATAGGAATGAACGTGTAGTGACCAATAAAAAGCGTGACTATGGAAGGGCTCCATATTCAAGCCCGTCCCGAGCACGCGACTACAACTAACACTCCTCTATAAAATCATTGCAACTAGCACTCCTTTATAAACTCCTTGTGGCTTTGAACTCTGTCACTACTACCCCACCAACCATAGATTTATCTGAAAACAAACTTGGTTCTTCTTGATCCAAATTTCCCCAAAATAAATGCAGCTCGTTTTCTAGCTCACCACCCAGATTCTCTAATCTTTGCTTGCACAAACACTTTGATTACGCGCCTATTCTCTGTCTGAACTCCTTTCTCCCTCTAGAATTCTTTTTTTTTTTTTTTTCCTCTCTCTAAAGGTCTCTGATTTGTGGCTGGAGGTGAGAGAATATGGCTAAAAAAAGCGCGGAAAGGTTGTTTGACAATACACCCACATGGGCCGTGGCTGGTGTCTGTGCGGTCATCATCATCCTCTCTATTGCCTTAGAAAAAATCCTTCACAGAGTTGGATCGGTATGTATTGCCATTATAAACACGCCTGTCCCCTTTTTTTTTTTTGGTCCTCTTCATGTTTGTTGTCTTTTGATATTGCTATTCTTTTCTTCATTTCATTTTGTTAGATATTAGGATAAGAGTGCAATAAACCCCCTTAACTGTACCCTAATGAGGAAAAAAAATCCCTGAATTTCTGAAGTAGCATGAAATCCCGTTGTTTGGTTGCACTTACGGAATGTAAAAGACCATAATGACCTTTAAAGACATTTGGACCCCACTAGTATCCAAACAAGCCTGACGTTTTGTCCTTTTTTTTTTTTTTTTCTTGTTTTTTTTTAAGAATAAATGTTAGGGGTTAGTTGGTGTCAACACTGGAACCTACGCATTCTAAGGAGGCATCTTACCAGGCTTTGGCACGTTTTGTCTTCCTTCCTCATCGATCTGTGGAGTATATCTGTATCTGCCTATATATGTATATATATGTTGTATGTTTTACATATGCGCCTGTTTCAGAGGTATAGTTTGAAGCTTTTGTACCCAAATGTTAGTTTAGTATACAGTGAGTAAAAATAAAATAAAATAAAATAAATCAAAACCCATTTACAGAACAAGAAGGTTGCATTCATCCTTGCTGGCCGCTCCTCTCCACCGCCGCATTTCTTCCTCACGGCTGAGCGCTCGCCGGTCCGTCACCGCCGCTGCACCACCCGCCGTCCATCACAGCCGACATCATCCAATGCCGAAACCGTCGAGGCCGTCTTCATCCTCTCCACCGTCCGAAGCCTCCTTGCTCGCCGTGAGTTCGGCTGCCGTTCAGTCCACCTGCCTCGCCATCACAGCCAGCCCGTCTCCATCAAGCCGCCATAGCCAAGCTCATCACCGCCTTGTCCGCCGTTTTGTCAATCGTGAGCTTCGTCGTCGCCTTTTCAATTTGGGGGTTCATCGCGTAGAGAGAGGGGAGTAAGAAGAGACCCAGAAAAGAAAAGGAAAAATAAGAGTCATCAGCCAATAGGCTGCTGACACGTGTCCTCAGCATTTTAGACTTTTGCCTTTTCCAGTAGCTACAAATTTCTGTGTCTAATACTGCACCAAGACCGGGGTTAGTTGCACTTAGGGGGGACGGGATGTTACTCCTCCGCTCCTTTTTTTTAATTGTCTTTTTCGTAAATTGTGATTATAAAGGCACAAAAGTAATATTATTTATGAATAAAAGAAATTTTACCAGATTAGTTAGGGAGAGTACGTACTTCCTGTTTTTTAGACATTTTTAGACAGATCATTTGAGGCTTTCAACTTGGAATTATGGAACCGAGTAGCTAACAAATGATTTTTTTTTTTTTTTTTTTTGTTGGTTATTTTTTGATTTTTAGGGTTGGTTTCATTAAATTCAACTTTAGCCTTTTTTTGATTAGGAAAACACTCTAACCTTTATCCCTGCTTATGTATGAAGCAATAGGAAAACACTTTAAACTTTTTCCCTGTGTATCTATGAAGCAAAACAATATATATGTTTTTTTTTTGTTTTTGTTTTTTGTTTTGTTTTGGTAACGAAGAATCAACCCACTGGCTATCCAATTTGAGCTTTCCCATTGTTTGCACTCCGGTTGCAAGCAATTGCCTGCAAACCACATGGATCATTTAAACTCAGGCCTCATGTTATGTTGGGAACTCACAGATGGGTTCAAACATGAAGAAATCTATTTTTGATGAACACACGTCAAAGGCCCTTCAGAAGTGGCACATGGCTGCGAAGAAGAAGCACGGGAGAACAGGAAGATCCCCCATTCGAACCCCTGGTGGAGGAAGCCCAACAGCTTCAATGGGTGGCTCAACATTGCCCTCCACTGGAACTACACTCCACCGGTTCAAGACTACCGGCCACTCAACCAGCTCATTCACCAACAACGACCTGGAAAAGTCTGATTATGAAGCAGACACTTCCAACTTGATTATAAAAGTCGACCACGATGATTCAGACACTGAAATCATTGTACCCCACACTGAGGAAGAAACCAGAAAAAAAGAAGAAGACTTCTCATTTGTGAAACCTGCCCCGCCGAAGTGAAGATGATGCTGTAAATTGCTGCCAAAACCATCGACACTTTGTATGATTTTTTGTTGCATGTATTTTGAGAAAATTTATAAATATTGATAAGCAGCTTCATTTTATGTAGTGGCATCTATTGTAACACTTGATGTGCTTGTTCATAAATTATAGTTTTCAGTCCACAATTTTGCCTATGTTCTGGGCAAATTTTGCTTATAGGTTCAATCTGAGAGCATGTATAAATTCAAACCCTCTTATTTGAGATGATGTTCGTTATATAAATGTTGTGTTATCCTAATGTATTTCAGATGATTTAAACTTAAGTCACATAAAGCTGTAAAATTAAATCATAAATAGTGAGAATTTGAACGCGAGCGCGCTCAAAGTGTGAGAGCGACACCTGTTGTAAGATTGTGTGACTTAGATTTAAACTACTATTTCTTTATAAATAAAGGAAAAAAGAAACTTATCTTATCGAATTGGTATACACTGACCTACTACAAATTACAAATGAAATGACCCATTCCACTTTTATTACTCTGAAATCAATCAAGTCCCTAGTTAGACAAATACTATGTTCTCGTTCTGGTTTTGATCTTTCTCAAGAAAATAGAGGATAAATTACATTAACTTTCCTTGAAATTTGTCATAATTATACGAACTTTTTCTATAATTTCTAAAATTACTCAAACCTACCCAAAAAAAAATTTGTAACATGGAGGTCCGTGTAGTTATGAAATAAAGTCCCTAGTTAGACTAATATTATGGTCAACTTCTGATTTTGATCTTTCTCAATAAAACAAAGGGTAAATTACACTGATCTCTCTTAAAGTCCGCCATAATTACATGAACTTCTCCTACAATTTTCAAAATTACTCAAATCTCCCCAAAAATCAAACGTTGTAACACGGAGGTTCGTGTAATTATGAAATCAAGTCCCTAGTTAGACTAAATATTATGGTCTCCTCTTGGTTTTGATCTTTCTCAAGAAAGCAAATGATTGTTGTGCCCTTAGGCTTCTATGCTATGTCTCCCTTTCATAGGGGACAAGGTGGATACTTGTATACCCATCTCTAATTTTCTATCTGACATTACTATGTTTTTGTTCACACACAATTTTCTAGGTTGGTGAAAATGGGAATATTGTGACTTTTTTTTTCCCCTTGCAATATATCATAGGGTTTTTTGTTTGTTAATATAATCTTTACGTACCCTAAAAATAAATAAATAAATAAAAATAATTATAGTAGGTCTCAAAAAAGAAAGTAGGTGGGGCCTGCTTGGCAGACAGTTTCACTTGTATTGGTTGTCAATCTATACACATGCAATTGTATATCTTTGAGCATTTCTGTGAAACATCACATTGCCATAGTTGGCTGATTTTGTGGGGGGAAAATCCTCTTCAAGGCACCTCTCACTGGAGGCTATCCATGGAGGGGTAAAATCATGACATGGCTGGTTGAGTAAAAAAGGTATTTACTTTAGCTATATATACATACCTATGTATCTGTTATTTATACAAGAATTTTATACGAAAGTGTTCTTTATACAAAATGAATTTTAATTTCCCCCCAAAATTGAAAAACCATTTCCCCCCAAAAGTGTTCTCTATATCCTCAAGTTAAATTTCATTATTTCCCTTTGATATTCAGGTCTCTCTCTGTTGATCAAGAATCCAGCCAAAGAAGAATCTGACCAAGCTTCCTAATTTTTCGGCAACCTCTTCAAACAAGCAAAACAATGTCCTACTAAAAAAAGCTCCGATTTAAAGTGTACAACATTTCGGTATTGTCATGGTTGGGAACGAGCTTCAAACAAACAAAAGGGAACCTATTCTGAAGAAGCACCATACATTCCGGCGAGAAGCAAAAGTATACCATATATTTCGGCGCGAAGCAGAAGTCCACCATACATTCCGGCAAGAAGCAAGTTGCCGGTCATTATACATAGGTTGTGATTTAGAAATATTTGTAATTTTATTCGAAATTATAAAACAAACTTTATCTTATTTGGCGGCAAGTCAAGGGTGACATTTGGTAACAGCCTTAGTAATTTTTCCTGATGAGCATGGAATCCTGTAATACCAGAATTTGAAGCTTGGTTTACATTGTTTGGAGGCTAGCCGAGATTTGGTTTGTTTGTTCTTCTGCATTTTCATGATTTTGAGTCAAGCTAATATTTAATTCGTTTGTTGTTCTGCATAATTATGTTAAATTTGCAGAGTGTGTGAATTTATTTATCTGTTATAAGTGTTGATAATAATTGTACTATTAATACAAAATTGATTCTAAGTTTTAGGTATTTGATAATTAGGATGGGGGTATTGAGAAAAAAAATAGATTTGACATATGATTTTTAGAGTATTATAGTTAATGGCTGATCTGTTGCAGTAATTTATAATTCAATTTTACATGTGATTTTAGTAATTCAATTTGTGATATATTAGTAATTTTGTTTTATATTTTGTTTGTCAAAAAACCTCTTAATTATTTTTTATTCAATAAATTAAGAACAAACAAAACAGTGTAAGTGTTGTTTGAAAAATCAGTTAATTGAAGTGAGAGATAATATATTTTCTAGTGGAGATATCTGTACTGTTACATTGAAATTTTTTTACATTGAAATTAAATTAATTCAATTTATAATTCTACTATTGCATTGAAATTTATTTGGAATGTCAAATTCAATTATAGTAATATGTGGATCATAAATTAAGAGATAATCTTAATATATTTTCTAGTGGAGATATCTCTATTGTTGCATTGAAAATGATTTGCATTAAAATTAAGTTAATTCAATTTATAATTGTACTGTTGCATTGAAATATACTTGGAATGTGAAATTTAGTTATAGTAATATGTGGATCATTAAATTTAATTTTATTGAATTGATTTTCTATTAATTTTTATATATTTTTTATTTTTTATATGGTACACTTGAACTCTATATTGGTGAAAATATTAGGAAAAATATGTGATGGTTTATTAATTAAACTGTTGACACTTGTTTATGAAAAGTTATCATGTTCAGTTTAAAAGATAAAATGATTTTCGTTTATAAGGTTTACTTGAAATATGTTAGGATTTATTTTATATGATATGTTCATATAAGTGGTGCCACATGTTGAAAATTTTTATTAATGTGTGGATATATATATGATGGTTTATTTATTAAACTGATTTTCCTTTATGAGTTTCACTTCAATTATATTAGGATTTATTTTATATGATATGTTCATATAAGTGGTGTCACATGTTGGAAAAATTTATGAATGTGTGGATATATGATCTATATCACTTAAATTAATGTGAAAATGTTAGGTAAAAGATGTGATAGTTTATTTATTGAATTATTGATAGTTCTTTGTAAAAAATTATGTTGTTCTGTTCAAAAGATGTGTCGTTTATTTGGTTCCCACTTTAAATGATTTTCTTTTATGAGGTTCACTTGATGTATGTTATGATTTATTTTGTATGATACATTCATATAAGTGGTGTCACATGTTGGAGAAGGGGCCAAGCCATCCTCGGCTGCGCCATCATCACCTCTGCTGCTACTATATGTGTTCGCCTTAAGTGGCACCAACTATTCACATTCCATATATACATAAGCCAGTCGTTACATTATCATATAACAAAAAAAAATTACCTATCCAAGACCAAAACCTCCATTACCTGTTCACGACCAAAACCTCCATTACCCAGTTCCCATCGTACGCGTGAACGAAAAATATCTGAGGTTCAAAAATCAATGGCTTTAATATCTCACTCTGAGTAACCTCCATATTCTGTCTCACAACGCATTATATAAAGCAGCTGTTTTCAATTGGAACAAACAAAGTATACATGCCTTATTTTTCAATTTTTAAATATGTACCTCACATAATAAAAAGGAAATCTCAAGAAAAAAAAACCAATGAAAGCAATGATACCTGCAAAAACATCAAACAACTACCATATGACTTTTTCAACTTCCCATTTGTAGGTGGTTTAATAGTTCTCAACAAACAATCGCGGACATAGCCGCACCAGTTGTAAGCACTGATTGCATTAATGTCATCAACACTTTTAAACAAGCCCCGGTGGCATTTATTTCTGCCAGGGGGACTTAGTAAAGTGGAGCAAGCAAAGAGGACAAATGCTCTCTTGAATTGATCATTTGCCTTTAATTTTAAAACCTGGTCAAACAATAAATCATCACGCATTCTGCCTTTGTCGCTGTAACCAGCTTCATCGATCCACTTGGCATCATAAAAGTGGACATGTGTGTGTACATTGAGAACTCCAAATGGTATGCCAAGGATGGAGTGGACATCAGCTGAACGTATGGATATATACCCTACGTCCTCAACTCTTATGCGACAATTATCGGCCTCATAATTGTCTATTAAAGACGTGCATAAGTTACGAGACAAATATGCACATTTCAGCTTCAACAATTTTCCAAAACCGATCTCCTCAATAGTTTTTCTCTTTTCTTTATCAAGCTGTGCAACTACTTCAAGAAACTTCGATATCGTGCATTTGTGCCACGCACCTTTGTGAGCAATTTTTTTTTTTTCATTTTTCTCCTGCTTCAAAGCCATACCATTATAAAACATCATGCATAGCCTATGTTATGGGTTAGGTCATAAAAATAAATAATTGTATCTAAATATAATTACCTTCTGTTTTATGGGAGCTTTTTTTTATTCAGGAAAGTTGTCATACTCTTCCTTTAATCTTTTTTTTTTCCTTAGCCATGGTTCTTTCTCACTAGGAAACATTGCATTTCATGTAATTCTGGCACCATTGTGCACTGAATTCATTAGAGGCTCAGATAACCTTCCCGGTTTTTGGTTTGATTTCCAATACTTCGCTATATAGTCAAACCTTTTATCATAATAAATAAAGTATTATCAACTTTTTGAAGAACTCTATAGTTATTAAATGAATGTATATTGCATCAACAAACTAACTTTCCTACCATGTAACAATTATACAGTTGAACAATTTAATTTTTCATTTCATATTTCTATAAATAAGAATCACAAATTCTATCAACATATGTATAGTATGAATTGCATAGTGCAACAGCAAAGCTTCCTAACATTTGACGAGTGTAGATTTGTGGATATTGTCGTTACTTCTTTACACTTCGTGCAAAAATAAAGAAAAACCTGCAAAGATTAAACTAAAAATGATATAGTGATAAGTAGAGTCGAACCACACATTCAAGA